TTCATGTAATTATATAATTAAAGACATGTTGGTTACATTCTGTTTGTAATTGATAATACAATGCTACTAGTGATTGCTATATAGCACACCTTGAAGAAGATAATAGTCAAGTGAAATGCCTAATAAACATTTATGGCATTCAGCTGTCCTTATCTGCAAATTTTCACTCTGATAATTTTTGCTTAAGCTTTGGCAGAAAAAAATTTTGAGTTTTTCCTCAAAAGGTGAATTTGCTAATACTGATGTGGAGATGGGTAAAGGGTTACAATAAACTTGCATGGTTTGAAGTCTGAGCTTTTCTATATCTATGAACTGTCACTTGTAGTACCAAATTTCTAACTTAACTCATTACATAGAGGTTATCTAGGGGGGTCTATGCCTGACAACTTGGTAGAAATTTTTAAAGGCTATATCTGTTTTTGAATATAGCATTATTGTAAAATAAATTTTACGTTCCTAGACATGCTAATGAGCCATATATTTGGCATAATAATGAGCCTAAATATTTGGCAAAACATTCAAGTATTGTTCACTTCATTTTTTTTGAAAAAACGTAACAAAATGTGTTGTATTTATGCAAAACGATGCCCACAAAATACATTTTGTAATGCTCTGAAACGCTGAAAATGGCATTTTTAAGGCTCTGAAATTCAAAATTTCTCAGGAGAGATAGCCTCAGACCCCCCCAGGTGCGGAGCGCCTCCGATGTTTTATGACTGATATTTGAAAAATCCTAGATCCGCCCCTGGTTTATATTACATAGTTTTGTCATCGCCAGTGTCGTGCAACAAGGTAGGATCGTCAGTAATATGTCGATAAGTTTTTGCTTTCACGATTGAATTAGTCAGGCATCATAACATTATTATTTGTAGATCGCCATCTCTCGCATTAAAGAACACACACATTCCGACAAAACTCGCACATTTATAAACACCTTCACACTTCACCACACTGCAAATCAAAATACAGCCATTCATGTTTTCGCATCTTAGACACCGCCAACTCTCCTTTTCTCTTAAACTAAAGAAGCGCTCTACATTAAAAAGCTCAAACCAGACCTCAACAAACAAATATACCACATTAATACAATATTTAACCTGTAATATAATATCTAACACTAATTCCGTAATTGGCATAAGCATCCCGAAACATGTTTACGATAAAAAAAAAAAACTCGTCGTTCATTTATTTGGAAATTCTGTTCTCACTGTTAACAATTTATTAACAACAGAATTACAAATGTGAGTTTTGCCTTGCTCAAAGATCGCGCGAAAGTCTTTGCAGATTTGAAAAATATTTTTGAAAAGTTTTACAAAATAAAACACAGTTTACACAGACTTCTATTACAAAAGGCTTATGTCATCACTTGTTATGTTCTTATTTTATGCCGTTTCATGTTATTAATTGTTTTGTTCTTTTTCTTATGTCATTCATGTCTTCATTTGTCTTGTTCTTATTCTTATGTCGTAAATTTTTTGAGCATGCGCTATAAACTACGTCATGGCTTCTCTCGGACGCTGCGGACACTGGTGCACACGTTTTGAAAGTTGAAAGTTTTCGACATTCTTAGCGATGTTACGTGAACCAAGGTGCACGTGATTAAAATATACCAATCGCAACGAGTCACTATACTGTGGAAAACAAAATCATGGCAGACAAGTCATATGCTAGTACGCAATCTTTTGAACCAAATCAGGGCATTTGTGGCAACCACCTTCAGTAGAACAAATACAAATAACACATCCAACTCTAATGACGCTAGCAACACCAAATTTATCGTGCCACAACAGCATGATTTCGAAGAAAAGTATGACGATGATCAACTGGACGATATTGTGTGATATTCGCCTTTACTTTCCATCTAGATAGATTTGCCTCACCAAAATCGTTTTCTGTATTTCCTTCTTTCTAATCGCCGTCTTAATAAATTCAGTATCAGCAGTCTTCTTAAAGCTGCTATCTTTGACTGGTTTTTAAATCAGCGCGTGCAAAAAAGTTTAATGGAGATTTGTTTTTGAACGCGAAAGTTTAATGGAGATTTGTTTTTGAACGCGCGAACGAATGATGAGAAGTGCCCGTTCCGTGCGCGCAGGCAAAGCGACCGTAATGGAAATTGGTCTTAAGTCAACTAGTTTGTCAATGACTTAAATTTGTCTAACATTTACGCGCTCATCAATTCATTTGTAGTTGTTGCCTATATTTTGATGTTTGGTCATCAGTTAAAAGAACGCGTAGCTACTGTTTCTTTAATTAGTTACATGTGAGCATCTAAGCTCACATTCAGCGCAAACGGTGAGTTTTTTGCCTTGCGTGGCCAAAAATATCAAACATGCTTGATATGCGAAAAAGGTTGCATTAAAAGATGCTTACTAAACTATGCTTGTATTTGCTCGGGCTGACAGGCTTGTGTAAACCGAGGAGACCTTTGGGAGAAGTCGAGAACAGATCAATTCAAGGCCGAGATTAAAGTTCGAGTTGTGTATAGATTTGCAGTGTATCTTTCATATATTCTGTTTGGATGGTATGTTGTAAAGTTTCTTCTGCCTAAAATTAACAAAATTTATAAAGTACGATATCAAAAAGATTAGGAACATGGTTTCTGAGAACTTGAATAAAGCAGATTAAGCTGAAACGTGCGTGTGACATTGCGGTGGCAAGATGTATTTAATATTGCATAAACAAGGTATTGGTCCATAGCGGAGCTATCAGAGCCCTCTATTCGTAGAGTTAGGACAAACGGTCTGGGCGAGCGCGGAGCCGCCATTTTGGTTCCTATTTGCAAAGTGAAACTTTAATAATACTATTGGAAATTGGGTTTATATGCAAAGGAAAGCAATTTAAGCTTATTCCATGGTAGTATCAAATATTTTAGGAATAATAACTAGCTCTTTGCGTTTTTTTAACGGTTTGCGGCAGACCTGATTTAATTTCATTGGTTTGAGCTTCGTTTGCGGTTTACTAGATCGTGCTGCAAATTGATCGTGACCCATTGTAAGTATTTTTCACACGTGAACGTGTTTTCTCGGCTTATGTTCCGACTCTGTAACAAGTTTTCAAGATCTTTAATCTTGGTGGCAAGTCTAGAAGTAATGTTCTACTTCGAGCTACAAGTAAGTACATTTGTGTAATTCATTACCAAAATATATTGTACTCAGCTGTTTGAATATCCTAATTATAATTACTTCATTTTAAATGATGAACAAAAATACAAAATACAACCTGGAAAATCATAGCAGTTTCTGTGATTTGGTGTAGTTGTTTGTTTTAGTGTGGAAGTGGCTGAGAATTGAGAGGTTTGTAGATTGACCAATTTCAGAACATAATGAAAATCATCTTCGATTAAAAACAAGCTTTGGAGTAAGAAAACTATTGAAACTGCATTGACACGAACTTTGCAATGTTATTTTGCCCAAAATGGTTCTCTACTTGAGTCAGTTGATTGAACCTTATATCAAAAGCAGTTGAGCACAACAATCACCACGCAATCAAATTTCGTAAGTTCGACGTAAGGCATTTCTTTCATTTTTTTCGTAATCATCGATTCTGGCATGTAATAACATTTAGTAGCCTTCAGCAATCAGTTATTACACACTTATCCATAAAAAAACGCAATATTATCTCAAAATACTGTATTACTAGCAGTAATTGCTATATAAATAATAGCTCAAAATTCAAAACTAGGAACCAAAATGGCGGAAATTGATCAGGTGATCAATATTGCCCAACCAACGTAAGCTAAACGGATAACAATAGATGTTCCAACTCTTACAAATAGAGGGCTCTGGTAGCTATACACTTCGTAAATATTGCTCACATCCGCATTTGAGTAAATAACGATATCAAAAAAGAGTAGGAGAGCGGTTTCTGTGAACTTGAATAAAGCAGATTAATGTAACAGCTGAAACGTGCGTGTGACATTGCGTGGGCAAGATATATTTAAAATTGCATAGACAAGGATATTGGTCTTTAGCGTAGCTATACACTTCGTTAATATTGCTCACATCCGCATTTGTGGTAGCTTTCGAATGAAAGGAGGAAGGTATTACACGCTTTCTCATAACATTGTTATTGAAACATTGTGACTGGAATACAATATGACCTTAATGACCATGAGATTCGATCTGTTAGCAGTACTAGTGGGAAGTATCTTTGCTTGTTTGATACAAGGTTAGTAGAACGTCTTGTTCCTCTTCTGATTATACATGTATTTAAATAAGACATTTAACGTAAACGACAACTTTTAAACAGACATTTACATCGATAAGTTTTGCTCTTGTTTCAAAACATAATGAGAAATCATCTTCGATTAAAAACAAGCTTTGGAGTAAGAAAACTATTGAAACTGCATTAGCACGAACTTTGCAATGTTATTTTGCCCAAAATGGTTCACTACTTGAGTCAGTTGATTGAACCTTATATCAAAGCAGTTGAGCACAACAATCACCATACGCAATCAAATTTCGTAAGTTCGACGTAAAGGCATTTCTTTCATTTTATTCGTAATCATCGATTTTGGCGATATGTAATGTCATTTAGCCTTCAACAATCAGTTATTACACTTATCCAAAAAAACGCAATATTATCTCAAAATACTGTACTAGCAAATTGTATATAAATACTAGCTCAAAATTCAAAACTAGGAACCAAATGGCGGAAATTGATCAGGTGATCAATTGCCCAATCAACGTAACTAAACGTATAACAATAGATGTTCAACTCTTACAAATGAGGGCTATGGTAGCTATACACTTCGTAAATATTGCTCACATCCGCATTTGAGTAAATAACGATATCAATAAAGAGTAGGAGAGCGGTTTCTGTGTACTTAATAAAGCAGATTAATGTAACAGCTGAAACGTGCGTGTGTTGCGTGGGCAAGATACATTAAAATTGCATAGACAAGGATATTGGTCTTTAGCGTAGCTACACTTCGTTAAAATTGCTCACATCCGCATTTGTGGTAGCTTTCGAATGAAAGGAGGTATACGCTTTCTCATAACATTGTTATTGAAACATTGTGAAAGCTGGAATACAATATGACCTTAATGACCATGAGATTCGATCTGTAGCAGTACTAGTGGGAAGTATCTTTGCTTGTTTGATACAAGGTTAGTAGAACGTCTTGTTCGTCTCTTCTGATTATACATGTTTTAAATAAGATATTTAACGTAAATGACAACTTTTAAACAGACATTTACATCGATAAGTTTTGCTCCATATTGTATTTTGATATGTTATGTTCAGTGGCGTAGCTAGCGAAAAACATTTGGTCGGGCTGACGAGGCGCCACCATGGTTGGCACCGAGCGAGAAAATTTTCCGAATTTAGACTCCCTTGAACGTCGGAAACGGCTATCTTAGAAAGCAAATGCGTGATATTTATGCAGGAAATAGAACCATTTTGGTTAATTTAAATTGCCGAAGGATCTTATAGTAAAGCAGAGAAATAGTTCAAAATAGTTGCAGATATGTGATTTATTTTCTCAACACCACATACATAAATAGATACCTATGTACATCTTGTAAAGAAACTTTGACAAAGAACAGAAAAGGCTCAGATTTGTCATCAACAACTATCAAAAGTTGTGATGCCGTTCATTGTCGTGCTGAAATGACAATCATCATTGCTTGCATTAAAAAGTTCCCGGAAAAATTCTTACATGCCATGGACGAAAGACATCATCAGCTTGCTATCAGCCATATATGAATACCTATTTGTATAAGAAAGCAAGTCTTCGTGGTTTTTCAATGAACTTCTTTACTACCTCATCATGCAATGTGTTGGCGTCTTCTTTCTCTAACAGTATGTCTTTGTGAATGGAAATCCTGCAAAGAGAACTAAAACGTCCTTGGCTCATAGTATTTCTATAATTTTTTACCCTCTTCAAACAAGAAAATGACCTCTCAACTGAAGCACTTGTAATTGACAAAACCCCATTTATCTTTAACAGTGTTACAACTTCTGGAATACTAGATTGAAGATGGAACTGAAAAATATATTTCAATAGTTCATCGCATGAATCATGGTGAAAGTCGTTATCTCTGTAAATAAAACAAAGTTGGCTTACTAGCATTGGTATTTCAAACATATCACCATAAACCTCCTTTAGAAGATTTATCTTTTCTGAGGGCACTTCACCTTTCCACATCTTAAACACCCTAGGGTTAACAAGGTCTAAAAATCTAAAATGCTCCATATCCTGAAATCGCTCAGTCAGCATAGTCACAATTGTTTCAAAATTTCAAAATACATTTGTTTGTAATTATGCCATTGGTCATACCTGGTTACTGGTGGTCCCACTTTCTCAACAGCCAGGTCGTACACCTGACAATATTCTGTATCATTTCTCAGAGAAGCAACAAAGGCCTTGAATCTCAAACCTACTCATTCCATAATGAAAGTCAGTGTCCTTGTCTTGCAAGATAGAATAAAGTATGGATGACTGCTCAAAATTCTCTGGAAAACATGTACCAAGAAACAAAACAAGAAGCCATTAAGGTAGCCAAGTAAACCAGTAGTCTTACTTAACGTTTCATCATCCCAACCTATTGGATAATCAGTAAGATTTTCAAATATGTCAATCAGTTTCTCATAGTTAGAATGCAAGACATTGATGACATGAGCCCTATAATACCATCTTGTGTCACCAGGACTAGGAAACTCAAGCCTATGGGATGATAGTAAAGCTTTTCTTTTGGAGGAATTGCTAGTAAAGGTGCAGAAAGCACTAATATTAACAAAGAAAATCTTAACAGGTGAAATGGAGGATGCAGCTTGACATAATACTAGATTTAGTCTATGGGCAGCACAGTGAACAAATTGAGCATAAGGATAATCCTGCTGAACTTGAGCTTGAACACCATTGAGATGACCAGACATAACAGATGCACCATCATAAGTCTGTCCAATAAATTTCTCTTTCCCATTATTATATTGACTTAACTTACCCTTAACCACTGATGATATCGCAGTTGCAGTCCTATCACAACTAACATCAACAAACCCAAGCTGTCTTTCAATGACACTTTCCCCTTTGTCCATTCGAACAATTATACTCAATTGTTCTTTGGTAGAAATATCAGTTGCCTCATCAACCTGTGTACTTAAGAAAGTGCAGCAATCTATTTCCTTTAAGATCTCATCCTCTATTATCTTATCAAGACAATCAATTAAATCATTCTGAATATCAAGAGAGACTCCAGTAAACCGCCCTCCCCCAGCAAGGTGGGTTTCAGCAAGCCTACCATGTAATTGCCTTTCAAAAACAGAATCCATCTTGGCAAAACTTTCAAGTAGCTCTCTATAATATCCTCTATTCATGCTGCTACTAGATTCATCATGCCCCCTAAATGCAAGCTCTTGCCTAGACAAGTATAAAACAGCTTCTGTTATGGTTTTCAACATTTCCCTGTTTTGCCTTACCTCCTCGTTATGACGCTGAATCTCTTCACGTCTAGCTTGTGACATGAGACAGTCGACACGAGGCTGAAAACCTTAGGTCTTCCAGGTCTTGTAAGCACCCATGTGCGATTTTGCCTTCTCATGCTTCTTACAATCGGATAGGAAATTCTTCATGTTTTTGAATCTCGTCTGCGTCCATGAAGATGACGATCCAGGGCAAAATAAAAGACAAGGCCAACAGAACAATGCATTCTTTTCTGAGCTACCACAAAGCCAATCTTTCTTCGAGTACCAACTTTCCTGAAAGCTTCTATTGCCTGTAGTCGCTTGTAAATTTGGAATTGGCCGCTGCTTTACGAGTATATTTTGTTCGCCTGATTGTCGAACAGAAATGGTTTCTTTTGTAGTTCACCTATTATATCGATTTCATTAGCCGAAGCCATTGTAATGTAAGTTATCACGATTTCCGAACGTATACTTCGAAAGCTCAAAATCCAAGTCACGTTTTTTGAAAATGAGACCGACTAGATGCAGAGCCCTCTATTAGTAAGAGTTGGGACATCTATTGTTATCCGTTTAGCTTACGTTGATTGGGCAATATTGATCACCTGATCAATTTCCGCCATTTTGGTTCCTAGTTTTGAAATTTCAGGTAGTGTTTATATAGCAATTGTTGCTAGTAATACAGTATTTTGAGATAATATTGCGTTTTTTTATGGATAAGTTTGTAATAACTGATTGTTGACGGCTACTAAATGTCATTACATATCGCAAGAATCGAGGATTACGAAAAAATGAAAAAATGCCTTTACGTCGAACTTACGAAATTTGATTGCGTATGGTGATTGTTGTGCTGAACTGCTTTTGATATAAGGTTCAATTAACTGACTCAAGTAGAGAAACATTTTTGGGCCAAATAACATTGCAAAGTTCGTCTGATGCAGTTTCAATAGTTTTCTTACTCCAAGGCTTGTTTTTTAATCGAAGATGATTTCTCATTATGTTCTGAAATTGGTCAATCTACAAACCTCTCAATTTTCAGCCACTTCCACACTAAAACAACTACACCAAATCACAGAAACTCTTATGATTTTCCATGTTGTATTTTGTATTTTTAGTTCATCATTTAAAAATGAAGTAATTATAATTAGGATATTCACTGAAACAGCTGAGTACAATATATTTTTGGTAATGAATTGTACAAATGTACCCTACTTCTGTAGCTCAAAGTAGAACATTACTTCTCTTCTAGACTTTTCGATGATATTTTAATTGTAGGCTTTGGTTTATAAGATCACAGAGGCATATCTCCATAATTTCAGCTATTTGGGCTTTTAATGTATATTACAACTGTTGGTACCTTTCTCATATATATTAAAATATTGCTGGCTTTCTGATATATATTTAGGTGCTGCTAGCTTTTGATATATATATTTCACTGGCAATACAAGGCATAGAATTTGAACAAACGGGCTAAGCCCCTCCAACACCCTGTTTGATCAATAAACACATACAGAAGTTTTGTCATTCCTCAACCAATAAATTTAACTCTTTGCTAAATTAAAGATTGGATCAGACTCATATGCTGTATAAAAGACTACAAACAGTAGCATTTATAGCAAACAGACTGTTCTTCAACAACAGAAATGTTTCATGTTATAGAAATAATATATTCATTTTAAAGAAATGCTTCACCAAATATTTCAGTAGAATCCTTAACAAACTTTATTAGAAATAAACTTTAATAATTTATAAAGTGCTAAAGGCGAAATAACTTCATATAAAGGAATAAAACGTTTAAGGCCAAATGCATCTTGGTCAAATCATTGCATAATCATTCAATAACTAAAAAGTAAAAAAGTCTGTCATTTTCTGCTGAGCAAGAAAATTTTGTGATCTTTCAGAATAAAAAATCTCATGCTTGGATTAAATTGGGGGGCATAAACCACTCACTGCCATTAAATTGTTATAAATCTTGAACACAAATCTTTCCTGACCAAAACTGCATGATTACTATGATTCAAAGTTTCGAACAAAGTCTTGTCCAACTATTTGATAACACTGACGCCAGGATAGCATTGCCGCTTGCCACCAAGCTTAAAGATCTTGAAAACTTGTTACAGAGTCGGAACATAAGCCGAGAAAACACGTTCACGTACGAAAAATACTTCTTACAATGGGTCACGATCAATTTGAAGCACGAACTAGTAAACCGCAAACGAAGCTCAAACCAATGAAATTAAATCAGGTCTGCCGCAAATCGTTAAAAAAACGCAAAGAGCTTGCTATTATTCCTAATATATTTGATACTACCATGGAATAAGCTTAAATTGCCTTCTTCTTTTGCATATAAACCCAATTTCCAATAGTATTATTATAGTTTCACTTTGCAAGTAGGAACCAAAATGGCGGCTCCGCGCTCGCCCCAGACCGTTTGTCCCAACTCTTACTAATAGAGGGCTCTGACTAGATGTTGTTAAACGTTTGAGAGTGTTCACAGCTACTCTCAACCAATCAGATTAGAGATATTCCCACTACAGATTTTACTACTTGGTCGGGCTGAATTTTCAGAGCCCGACTAGATGTTGCGAAACAGCGCATTTGAGTTTGCTCGGTTGTTGTCAACCAATCAGACTGCAGATAATTCCACTATAGATTTTACTACTTGGTGGGGGCTGAATTTTCAGAGCCCGACTAAACTGCGTAATGCCTGGCACTAGAAATGCACTAGTCATTGTTGCTAAGTAACGCTTAAAAATATGATAATTTTGCTAATAACGACGCAATTTGACAAATATTACACTAATAGACTGTGGATTATTCCAAAAAGAGTCGCAGAATTTAAAATTTCCGCAAATCCAATTTTAAAGAAAACAAATTTTTCATTTATGGGAAAATATTTGGTCAGGCTAGGCCGACCAGCCAGACCGCTAGCTACGCCACTGTTCCCATAAAAGTTAACTGAGTTGTATGTTAGAAATTATTGTTGGATTGTTTTGCGCAATTATCAGCATGGTGGTCAATTTCAAATGATTTTGAAGTGTTAACAAACGTTTTTAAATAGATTGCTCATTTTCCACCACCCCCCTCCTTTCCTTCACCCGGCATTGTGAAAAAAGAGGAGTCTGGTGTTAAAACCATTTCTCAATTGTAAACGAACAGTAAGCACTCCGTTCTCTTCAAACTTTGCACTTCGCATTTTCATACATGCATGCTGCGTCCGTACGTCAAACTCGATATCGAATTACACCCAATATGAGAGAGTTGAATACTCTGTTCAGGGTGCACCACAACGAAGTACATGATATTTTCGGATAATTCGGTAGTAAGGTCTGGTTGATTGCTGAAATTTTACAAGTGTATTATGTTTACCTCAAAAAAGTAGACTTGCGGTCTCCGCACGACTCATGCATCGATATGTTTGGACTGGATGAATCATAATAAACAATGTATTTCTTGATAAATGCAAAAATCATGTTGTTTGTGCTTATAATCCGAACTGTCGGTTTTGCCGAATTTTTATTATAAGTAAACGTATGCTTTCATGGATATGAGTGATTAAAAGTCCCTCAAACAGAGGGAAGTTTAATAAAGTCCGTTGGCGCTGTCTGAGGGACTTTTAGCTACTAAATCTCTCATGGCGTAAGGGAACATTTAATCACTAATATTCCTTTAAAACAGTGGTTACTTTGTATCCACATGGTTGCTGAGGGAATAGTCAATGCATTAGACTGTTCAGTTTGACAATAGTTTCATCAAATTTTGAGCTAACTTATTTGAATATTGCAACCAATTAAATTGATGGTGTTTAAAGCGCACACTGTTCATGAATAAAGAAATCCCCATCTAGCTATTTGATTTTGAATTCCGTTTTTTAATTGGTTCGGGGAACCTGTGAATGAATTTGCTTTGCAAATACATATTGTATTTCATTGTTGAAGTTATTGATGGTTTATCACTGACTTTCCCAAGTAAGTGACAAGAAAGTTTCTGACGCGATGGAAATATGATTTCTGTTACCGCTCAAAGACATAAATTTGAGGCACTAAGGCTTGTAATAGCGCAAGTTTGGCGATTTTGAGCAATAGGGCAAAAGATTTTCTCGTGTCTGAATCCGAAAAATTAACAATGTAACAACAGTCGAGCAAGAGGAATTTTGACTTGGTAAACTTGCCCTCGAAGTATTGTGTTTTTAAAGGACTTGCCGAAGACATCAATTTCTGAAATTTTCTACATGACAAAAATAAATTGTGAAAACATGCGTATGTTTTTATTATTGATGAGGGATATTTAGTCTAAACATCCCTAATGAATATATTGATGAGGGCATTTTGAATTAGCTTTGCATTTGGAGCTTGGTAGCCATTGCGAACATAAATCATTATTCGTTTGGCAAATAATGCAAGAAACTTGATACACCGTGCTGGTATTTAGTCCAGTTCATGACTTATACTAATTATATATCTCTGGACGATGTGAGGAAGGCAGTAAAAGCTCTTGACGAAATGCGAATGACGGTTAGGTTGTCAATTTATCATATATATATATAATTTCATAAGCATATAAATGGATTATACTTTTGAACTATGATCACCGATCTACCTTATTTTGGTGGTTGATTTTGTAATGTTAGTTATGCTACTGAACTTCCTCAACCACTGCTCATCTGAACCTTTTAGATTTTTTCGTAGTTTTAACGGATGATAATGAAATGAAAACGAAACCTCATTTTCAAAAGAAAGTTGCAGGCTATACTTTGTACCCTGTATCACTTGATCTAATTGAATACTCCTACCCATCTATTACTTAATCACAATATTTGACTGACTATTTCGTTCGTTTGATTTCCTAACGAGCATTATTTTTTATCATATTGATATTTACGAGGATTTTTCTAGGTGCGACTGGATTTTTCATAAAACATGTTGATACTGGAAAGTGTATTTATGACGTTGGAAAAATTTTGTTAACATATCAACATGGAAGTCAACTTTCTAGAGAAAGAAGCCAGCGTTTTGTGGAAATTTCAGACAATTGTTTTGATCAAGCATCTCAGTTGAACTTTCGAGACACTGGCGCAATATTGAAAATAAATATACCAGGTTGCCTTCAAGCCGTGGACAGATGGGTAAATATTGAGGGTACTCTTCATTTGTTAGTTATTCACTCTGATAAGCAAAACATTATTGGCGATCTTTGTTCTGACAACAACGCTGTAACCCAAACCTCTTGGGAGGATTAACACTTAAGTTTTGGAGAACAAACCAATTGCTATGTTTAGTACCTGCTACATCTAATGAATTTAAAAACAAGTATGGAGTTGATCCGTATTTGAAAACAACAGATTGTAATGAAGGAACAGAAAAACGATTTCATTTTGGTAAGTTTTTTTATTTAACTTGATATGTAGAAGCATATCATAGTTATGATATTGTGTTTCTGCTTTATGTGTTATTAATACAGAAAGTGAAGTCTGATGTAATTCATAATTTAAAAATTGTCGTAAAAATAGCTACTGAATGGTCAAATTAATGACATATAGTTCTTAAATGAACTGCTAAAACCAGAACACAAAAGTGAAAGTGATCTCTAAGAATTATGTGTTTTAGCTGACATGTTAGGAATTTCTAAGAGAGGAGGAGTTTCATTTATTCAGGCCTCGTTTACATTATACCGGATTGTATCGTTGCAGGTTGAATATTCTTTGTATTAAAAGGCAGTGAAATTGTTCAACGTCAGAAACACAATCAAATAGACTAAATCTATCAGCTTAATAAGCTTTTACTCAAAACAGTTAACCCTTTAAAGCAAATGAAGATATCGTGATGAGCGAATCCGGTATAGTGTAAACGCAGCATCATTTGATCTGTATATTAAATTTATTTAGTTTAACTTAACTATTTAATCCATCTAATTTAATTTAATTAGTTTAATTATTCTATATTTATCCATTTTATTAGTTTAATGTAATTTATCTTTGTTTTGTATTTCATCTACTAATTTAGAGATGACGTTAGCTTTTTCTTACCATTATATACATCGTGTTATTTTATGTTCTCATTTAGCAAAGCTTGACACTTGATGATTTCAGCTTTAAAAACACTCCTCCTTGAATTGTTTGATTTGTGTTCTGGTTTTAAACAGTTCTTTTAAGAACTATTACGTTAGTATTTTGACCATTCACTGTGAAATTTTTATAGCACGACCAAACGTGCAAGCTTGGTACCATAATAACATGCTGGGAATATTTTTAACTGTGATAGAAACGGTGGATTTTCGTTTTTCACGTTAGCTCTATTTAGAGAGTCATCGTGTATTACAATTAGACAATACCTTACTACGCTCAACCGAAGACATTGTATTTGAAACATTGTTTCACTTGTCGTAGCTTGTATTTCAATGGATATTTGAAACAGCGTTTGAACAACAAGAGTAACTAATACATGGAAATATAAGCTCTAGGTCTAGTTATATTTGATCATGGAAAAGAACATACTTGTTTGAGGACTGTTGCTATGGGATGTATAGTTAGACATGGAAAATGGAGATGGAGAATAATGTTTTTCAGCTTTTACGGATTTTACAGATAAACGCGTGCCGATAGTTTTTTTTTACTATAGGGTCAGTGGCATGTACTGGACAAAAGATAGCGAACGCTAGTTGTTCTAGTAATCAATATATGGTAATAAAAGTGGCTGAATATCGTGGATTGAGTAACGGAAGCTCTTGTGGCTCAAGTTATGATTACAGTTGTAGTGTTAATGTCACATGCGACCTTAAAAATTATTGTGATGGTGAAACAGAATGTACGATAACTGTTGATGATAATCATTTTCCTTCTAATATTTGTCCTGGTTTGGAGAAATATCTTTACTTTGAATATCAATGTAACGACACAAGTATGCCATACAGAAAAATTGGTCATCGTAAGTATTATAAAAGCAGATGAAATTTTGCTTTCTAATTTCCTTTCATCGTATGGCAAATATTTTTACACTATGTACATAATCAACTTTGAAAATTTTATTATTATGATTTTGTAGTACCTGATGGTCCTCCTTTGAATGTCACAATCTACGCAATCGGCAATACATCATTGTTTGTCACGTGGAAGCCACCTGATGTAACCAAAAGGAACGGAAAGATAGTCAGTTACACTGTTTGTATTAAACAATGTGGGGGTGACACGTGTTCAAAAAACCATACTACTGAGGAACAGCATTTGAAAATAAATCATTTAAAACCAGCGACAAAATATTGTGTACGCGTTTTAGCGTCTACGAAAGTGGGTCCTGGAATTTACAGCAAATTGAAGTGGACGTTCTCAAACGGACGTGAGTTATCAAAATAAAAATAAGCACTTATAAGGTAATATATTATTTTTTCATCTTTAATTTTAGTTGCACCGGAACAGCCCAGAATTCAGACAGCGTATTCACTGACTTATTTGTTGCGAATCCCCTCGATGAAATATCAGTAAGTACTTTCAAAAAATCTTCTCTCGGCCATAAACAAGAACAGTTACAAGATCCTTTGAGCATTGACGTGGTGTGAACATTTTTTTTGTTGTGACGTGTGGCGGAAGGGGGCAGTCTATTTCGACTAAGAATGCGTTCCCGAGATCTAAAACTTTATAAACGAGGTCTTGATTAAGGCACAAGCCGAAATTTTTTTAATGAAGCAGCTCTAAATCACCATTTCTTTACGGGATGAAGTAGTAAAACTGCAGTATTTCAAAAGCGTTTTTCCAACCTAAAATCAAACTTTGACACCCCATATTCACTTCTGCACCCCATATAAATAGAAGGGTCATTTATAGCCTATGCTGAAAATGCTTTAGAGTTTCAACGTACTTCACTTCAAAAATCACATCATGCGTAGAAACAAGACATTTTCTCGCATGTCAAAAAAAGTGTTCTGTTCTGGTGAATATATGAATTGAGATCTTATTAGAAATTGCTGTTGTTATTCATCACCATCTCATCTTGTAGTAATGTCGATCATTTGGTTTATACTATTTTACTGTCCCGTGCGTATATATTTTTTTTCTATGGAAGCTTTAAGTGCAAAAACTCAGACTCTTTGAAGGCTTTCCTCAAGAACTCTAGGAGTGGTGCTGTATTGCTGGCTTACGTAACCCAGCCTTGTGAAATAGGTTCCGAAAAGCCTGCCACACATTCTTTGCCGGCATATTACGTCTGTTACTGGATTTGAAGATACAGCTATATGCAATAAGAGTTGCGATATGCGTCAAACTTTTTGGAAACCAATCAGATGTAATTTCTCACCAGGTGGTAGTTTTTTTAACTACCTCAGATCTTTCATGAAGTTAAATCATCAAATATGAACATCTGCTTTTACCTATCACGGTGTGAATAGCCACACATTGAGCAATTTGCTAAACCCTGTTGTTTGTAAATATCTGAGGCTATTGACTGCATTTGTAATAGCATTTTTATTTTGTTAAGCTCAGAGTGTTCGCAAACTTGTTCAATCCTATTTTTCAAGTTTCAATTATGGGTTCAGTAACTCATAAAGACAATATTATGTCAAATTGTTGTAGTATGTGATGTTTTACAAAGTTGTGTTTTGTTTCTTTTTCTTACATGATTTTTATCAGACAAAACGTAAAATTAGTTTTTCAACAGCGAAGATACTTGGATACAGAGCATACATGAATCATTTGAAAGTTTGTCGTCGTTAACTTGTTATAGACTCAATTGTTGCCAAACAAGTTAATGCAAATGCGATTTCAAGCAGAGAATTGGATGTACATTGTTGTGAAAGAATTCCTCTGGAAAACTGTCAAATCAAATTACTACTAAAATACAGCTTTACTGCTAAAGTCAAAGTCATACTTCAAAATTTAATACGATATATTTAAATGTTACTTCACTCTTGGCATTTACGTCAAAATTATACTTCTCTGCGAAAAAGCCCATTTTATCGTTTTCCTTTTAATGAAAATAAATTATAAAATTCCTCATACTTCTCATAGTTTGGCATTCATATTTATACTCTAGTTTGGTACATGGTGACTTGCCAAGCGTTCGCTTTTAACAGAAACATAGCCCATTTAATGTTGTAATTATTACAAACTTAAGGAATTATCATCTGCAGTTTACAAAGATTCATTTTGAATTGTAATTTTGCGTTTAAGATAAGCAATATATTATTTGCACATTCTTTTCATTTTACAGATATTTTTATGTGGTAGCAATGGAGCATGACAAAAAAGAAATCGGTTTGCCTTCAAATTCAAAAATGATGACTTAGTGAGTTACTCTGAGGCCATATCATCACACAACCAAAGCCTTATATTGCAGTAATTTTCCCATTAAACACGTGTTTCCTCCAGTGATGTTGCAAACACAGTTGTTATAAGAAGACGCCGCTCTGATGGTAGAAAACACCAAATGGCCCTCTGAAGCCAGGCACTAGTTACAAAATTTTCAGCAGTTTTCGTAGATGATCAGGTAAGCGGTCAATCTTTGTCAAATTTACGTGCAATGTTATCAGCACTTTTTTAATTCATTATAAGTATTTACTTCGTTTCAGGTTTCTTTTTATTCTACTGACTGGAGTCCTCCTGCAAACATAGAAACGCAGGTATAGGGCTTTTTGTTAAACTCACTGTAACGGGCCATTCAATTGTCTATATTACTCTGCTCATGTGACATAAACGTTTTAACAATTACGCAATTCTTGTGGAATACATATGGCAACCATTTGTAAAGTAGATCACAGCTGTGTTTTGTGCATTGCTTTGTTTTAATGTCTGTCAATTTGTTTTCACTTGTCTTACTTTTTATTGTCATTTACTTGTCTTGTACCAATTTTATGTCATTCATTTATTAATTCTGCCTTTAGTATTATATCAATTATGTCTTGGGAAGATAACATTGGTTTGGTCTGAATAATTCTTGACATATGTCTTGTTATTCTTATGTCATTTATGTCACTTGTCTTATGTTATTTATTTCTTCTTTGTTTAATAAAACTAGTTTGATTGACTTTTTATTACGTTCCACTGGTGATAAGTCTTTTTGTCCTAAATTTTTTACTTTAATAACGGCGCCTCTATGTTTTCCACTGTTTTGGACATCCCAGCCACGACAAAATGGTACATCATTTTGGTTGCCGTCATTCAGAATCATTCATCATTGTTTTCTGTTCAATTATTCTACTTTATCGTCGACGTTTTGGTAACAACAAAATAAACAAAATGAACAACTTCAGTCCCCTGGAATAGAAGCACAGACATGTAATGGAGCTATGAAAGAAATGAAGTTATCTGACATATCTAAAAGAAAACGATAATGAGGCTTTGACAGATCGCGATGACAAATTATCAAGAGTAGACATTACCAAAAATGGACAGGGAAGAAAATTATCAGTCTTTAATGGATATGCCCGTGTATCAAAGATAAAACGTATCACTGAAAGTTCGCCATGCCATTTCTCATGTAATGAATGATAATAAGTGACTTTTATGGCATGTAACTTATGTTAAATGTGAAGACATGTATCACCAGCTTTAAAATTAGCGAAGGTCTCATGTTTCACTGTTCTAAAGCCTTCTTTCGCTATACTAGCTGCACAAATTGCTCTTTTTTAATCTTACTGTTTTATAGAAGCGATGAGTTAATGAACAATCAACACTGTCAAACATGAATTAAGAAATGATAATGTTGTTAACAGTAACTGCTAATGCAAGGTATTAAGAAATGAATACAGAAATGATTATCAATCTTTAATGGAGGATGATACTTGATTTGTCAGGGCGGATCAAGTATATCAAATCCGTGCTTGCATTGATGTTATTCAAAAATTACCTATTTATATTAATTAAAAAGTTATTAATTATTCTTACTTCATTATCGCATTTTACTTCGTGATAAAAATCCAGCATTGAAACTATTAATGAAAAATGCAATGAATATCTCGTTGTTAGTAACCAGATCAGTTGAACAATTGACCTGGAATAACCGACTGGCATTTGGCTTATTTGCTCGACTGATAAAAACATAAAAAGCAACTATTTCATTGGTCAATAGCCAGATCAGTGGACGATCTGGAATCTCGACAAATTGCAGTGGTGGCCGGACCTATAAGGAGTCGATTGCTATCGTGCATTGGTTCGTTTAAATTTTGTCTTACTGTGATTGGTTTTGACCGATTTCGACTGATAACTGAACTAACATAGTCAAGCTCTACTGTCTGAATTGAATGTTTGATGGTTTCATAATAATTTTTATAGCATAGTAGAAACTAAACTACAATCAGATGGAATTTATGGAAATCTTTTACAAATTCATATATTGTGCAGATACTGCTTTCAAACTGGAATTTTTCAAGAGATTGAAAATTTATGGATAATTGTAAATGCTTAGCAAAGACGATCTCGAGCGACATTTCAGTCATTGATGTTCAAAAGCAAGCCAACATTTGTTTGAGTTTATCAGCAGAAATTTACATCGAAAATGTAAGTAAGACAGTAAAATTATGCATGAAACAATATATCAAAAGTCAATTTATGCGAGTGTGTGATGCGATTTATATAATATGGCGTATAAAGCAGTTGATGCTTCTAAATTGTTTGTTGCCAGGACTTTTAAACAACTTTTAATGCTTGTAATCATTGGCCGTTATGTAGCAGCGAAATCTACATTTCTACAAATTTATTTCAATGGACAAAAATCTGTACCATAAAGGTGCCATACTATTTAGCATCATAAACAAATGTTTGGGGCTTTTCAGTTTATGATCATTGATCATTCAATCATTGACAGTTATACTACATATTGTTTAAGATTTGAGAAAACTAACATTGATTACATGAGAAGCTGTTTACTATAACCTGTGATTTTGAATCTTCTGATCCATGAAGCTTTTTATTTTGACAATTTGACTGGAATGAGTATTAAACCTGAGTATTTCACATTATGAAATGTTGTCCCATGTCATATTGTCCCCTTTTCAAACTGAACACCTCATGTAGGATGTAAAGGTGTGGCTAATCTGACTCATACCAGTTTGTTTGCCATAAATTCAAAGGGCTATTGATGTGAAAAGCATTTTCTATAAAGTAAAATCTCTTCAATGAATGCAGATAAACCTTGAAATTTGAAAACAGCTGTATTTTCATGATCCTACTAGGTAATTTTTTGATGAAGTCATTATGATTTCTAAACTAAATTATTTCAGTTACATTTAAATGAGCTTTTGATCATATGAAAGATATTTATCATAACCAGTAATGACACATGACAATTTTGTTCGTATAATTATAATTAAAGACATGTTTATTTACATTCTCTTTGTATTTCAAATCAATGCTACTAGTGATTGCTATATACTTCTTACTGTCTTACGAGATAATAGTCTAGTGAAATGCCTAAGAAACATTCATGGCATTAAACATGCCAACTGCAATTTTTCCTTTGAAATTTTTCTTAATCTTTGACAGAAAAAAATTTTGAGTTTTTTCTCAAAAGTGTTGCTTGCATAAGTGTGAAACGGTAGGGTTACAATAAACACCATGGTTTGAAGCTGAGCTTTTCTATATTTATGAACTTGTCACTTGTATAAAATTTCAACTTAACTTATTACATGAGAGTTTTGAATGACTCTAGAACCATGCTATTAACTTAGTAGAAATTTTAAAGACTATATCAGTTTTTAATAGCATTATTGTAAAATAAATTTTACGTTCCTAGACATGCTAATAGCCATATATTTACATGATAATGAGCTAAATATTTTGCAGCAAAACATTCAATATTGTTCACTTCATTTTTTTGAAAAAAACATTAGAAAGCAAAATGTGTTTTACAGAAAAACGATGCTAGTAAAATCTTGTTATACTAAAACGCTGAAAATGGCATTTTAGAGTTCTGAAATTCAAAATTTCTCAGGGAGAATGCCTCAGGAGCATTGAGTGCCTCCAAAATGTTTATGAAGATGATTGAAAATCGTAAGATGATAATGGTTGTCTTATGTAAAGTGAAAAAATGATGACAATAAATGGTGAAATGCATTAGATAGATATACCATCAACAATGAAATAGATGAGGAAGGAAAGTGAAATGACAAAGAATGGATTAAATGAGAGAATTTTTAGGTTATAGTGTATCAAAACAATGATTTTTGCTAATTCGTTTACGATATTCATTCTATGGTGTGAACTCAACAGAATCTGAGGAATTTATTAATTACATATGTAATGAAGATGTATTAAAAGATGCTTTTAAAAGAACAAGAAAAACTTTTAACTAAGGCTTGCTCATACACAAAGCATTAAAGATGGTTGGACCCGGGAGTATCGTTATTCATTAGATGTCTGTTGATATAGATCGTCCAGATTAATAAAGTCATGAGAAGGACTGTTGGTGTTGATTTTGACTGACGTTTAAAACCTTAGCGAATGAAGGCGACTACCGCTAAGGTTGTCAAAACGTCAGTCGAAATCAACAACATTCTTCGACTTTCCTTGATCTACATCTAAAAACTAGCTACATACTGTATACACTTTTCATATGCTTACCGGTTTTCAATACTTCTACAAAACAATATGTTATTTGCGTATATTAGAATTAGCTAGAGTCTATTATATGCCATATTAAGCAGCGTAGCCTGCTTGACTTTTACTTTCGCTTTGTGAATATTTTATTGTTCATTGAACGTGAGAACAATGTAATTTATAGTTTAGTACAATTTATAACATGCATACCTACATAAATTAATATGAGTTCCCCAAATATCAATTCTGTTATAGCCTTGATTTCTAATCGAAGGAAATGAGACCTTTAGCAATTTAGGGGCTCCAGTCGTCTTTACAGAATCCAACACAACAACCCTCTGGCCTAAAAATTATGACGAAGAAGTTCTGAAGAAAACAGACATAACTGTATTGAAAGATTTCAGCATTCTAAAGTTTTTTGAATCTTATTACTGCATGAGAACTGTTTTGACTCAGAGCACAGTTTAAATTTGTACAGCCTAGCTCCATAATAAAACCTAATAGACCAGGCTGTCTTGTGGGAGAAGACACAGTAAGAGACTAATCGGGGATATACCAGAACAAAAAAGACCTTGCCACGCCAAACTGTTAATGGTGAACTATTAATTTCACGCTTTAATAAATGTGTAGTACCTCCTGGACTTATAAAACCTCATTCCTACGTGGGAATAGACGATTGTAAACATGAAGATAATCAGCAATTTAATTTTGGTTAGTACGAATTTTTACACAGTTCGCATATATTGTTAAAATACAACTAAACGCCTGTAATTAGCGTTCATGTAAACATATATATGCTTTTTGTTGGTGACATTTATTTATACATTTATTTTATAGTTTACCAGTTGATGTTTGCAAGCTCCGTGAATGGTATGAAATTGTAGTTTTGCAGGTTCACTTAAAGTCACGGTAAACTTTTTCATTTCTTTTTTTCAGGTACCCTTTGAATTTATCTTAAAACATGCGAACTTACATGAAGTACATCATGTCATTGGGTCCATTAGTCACTGTGGATACGGTGGATACCAAATCATTCCAACTAACGTAGAAAAATTTTAAAAGCTTTACTTCCTGTTTTGTAGTTATGAATGTGGAATGCTCTGTAACACGCATTATTCATTTTTATGAACCATTATAATTCAAAAAGAGTCTGAATGTCGCAATTTGTTTAATTGCTGAGAAATTCTTTAAAAAGTGCTTAACAAATAGAGAGAATAAAATACAACTTTATTAATGTTTTTGTGATTTCAACCTTTTTATCTACTTTCGTGTCCTCCTTTGTGTCTTTCTTTTTTTCTACGATTTGCCAACCTTTTTGTCTCTATTTGTGTCTCTCTTTTTGTCTGCCTTTGTGTCCATCATTTTGTTCATCTGTTTTTCTACCATATTGTCTGCTTTTGTGCGTGCTTTTAAGTATACCTTTATTTGTTTTCTGTTGAACTCTTTATTTACCTTTGTGTCTACTTTTGTGTCTGCCTTTGTGTCTTCCATTTTATCAACCTTTTTCTCCACCAATGTGTCAACATTTATGTTTATCTGTTTGTTCTTCCTTTGTGTCTTTATCATTTTCTCTTTGATCGAGGTGGTGTGTGAATTGTGATCTCATTAATTAATCATCTAGATGAGTACCTCATAATAATAATAATGAATGTCTGTATAATTTCGCACACCCATCATCTTTCCTTTGTTTTTGGAAGTCTTCTCTATGTATTCAGGTTCTTGTAAAACTGGTTGAGCTCATCAATGTTCAGTTGCCGTTCAAAACACGTATCGCTATTTCACAACAATTATCCAACACTTTTCCCAACACTTTTACACACATTTTGAGACAATTGTGTTTATTTAGCTGCGCCTTCGATATGTTTAAAAACTTTGTTGACATGATCAAGAGCCTCTCAAACAGGCTTTCACAGCTGTAAAATATCTTGTAAGAACATGTTCAAACAATTTGTCAAGCAGACTGAAGCAGTAAACATAAATGGTGGCAGCCTGAAGAACTCAGGCTTCTTAAACTTGCCCACACTTTCGACACCCTTGTGTTAATATCAAATACGTTGATCAAAAGGATATTCAATTCACACAGACTGATGTTTACTAATTTGAACTTGCAACTGCAAGATGGAATAAGTTTCAAAATGAACACAATCGTCACAAAATGACTACACCCACGTGATTTTCCCTACACTATGCTTGACACTGCTAGAACATAGCACTTGTAGAACACTTCTAAACTGAGTGGATACTCTCTATGAATTATGGTAAAAGTAGAAGACGATTTTAAATCTACTTTGTAAAGAGCAATGATATTTACTAATATTCATCTGTACCAATAATATTTAGATGTTTGTGTTCGCGATACCAACAGTGCGGCCATGGTTATCGTCTCCAATAGCTGCTAATATGGTAATTTATTCTTTTATAGACGTCACACTGATCATTGACCGTTTGACTTCACTTTAAAACATCCGCTTTTACAAGATATATGCATGGCCAGGAAGCTTGTATTTTCATTTTTTTCATGATGACTTCGACATTCTTTACTTCCGCGTATGAGTCAGCGTTCTTGTAAATGCAGAACATCGTCTGACGGCCTATTTTGGTTGATACATGTCCTGAAAGCTGAAATACTACACGGCCATGAAATTCAAAGGATTCTGGTTCTCGATGCTGGTATATAAGTAATATAACTTCGCTTTTCTCTTACAAGGTAAGAGCTTGCCATTGTTTGCTTTTGAAATCAAGGTATGCCCTTCGGGTTTTTAAATTTCATTGAAAATGAGATGGTTGTTTTTCTTGTATGTCAATAAATTTTCGAAAGACATTTCTCGCTGACCATGTTTTAATCTATAATTATCGAAATTTAATACGATGATGATAAAGAATGATAACATCGCTATGTGTTGATTTAATCTTTTATCGCTTTGTTTGGGTTTTTTGTTTACACTTTCATTACAATTGTGTTTACACAATGTGTGCATGTTTTGTAAGGAAGTCATACCTCCTGCCTTTTTCGTAAAACAAATCAGACACGCGCAGTCTGTGTAGGTATTGTATATTTTATAACTGGGTTTTGTGGGTTGCCATCTGTCGTAGTTTATGTATTCTTCTCAATTATACGACAATTACAATTTTACTGTGAAGTTTTGTATTAGAAAATTCGAAAAATTATTATAAATCTGTATATAAGTTTAAAGATTGGTAATCCAGGCATTACATTGTTTAAAATAAAAGTTTCTCGGATTTTATAAATAATTTTATTGAGCTTTGGACTTGGTGCTTCTAGCCTTCATCAGGTCAGCACCGAAGCACCTAGTCGAAAGCTCAATAAAAATTATAAAAAATCTGGAGAAACTTTTATTTTAAACAAATCTGTATATGTATAATTTCACGAACCTTTAGAAATTTAAATTAAGTATTGATAGCTTCATGTATACAAGTTTCACTATGGTTTTTGGCAAAGTTAGAACTTGGTAACAAGATGTGCGATACTAGTATGATACCATACTTCTTGTGTGAGTCTATGCATTATAGAAGAAAAATTTGCTCCAGATTATGTCACATCCTTTTGAACTGCTGCATAAATTATACTGCTTCATACAAAATCAGGGGCATCGGAAGGAACATAAAATGGGTGGGGGGGGGGGTTGACATTTCAGAAATTATGAGTACCAATGTCTGCAACATGTTGTCAAGTAGTCGCCATTTTTAATTTTAGCAATGCCTATTGTCTAATCACTAACATAATAAACTAATGAAAAAAAATTGCAAAAGACTCCTACATGATTCTTTAGTGTCCACTCACTGCTCTGTAGATATGTATGTTTTATAGTCAAAATAGACTATTACTAAACATTCTCTTTCATATTAATTTTGCTATTTCAATACAAAGGGGGGGGGGGCACTGTCTCCCTTCTGAGAAAAGTGCAGGGGCTTTACCCCCCTGGTGCCCCTATACAAAATTTAATTCACTTTTTGATTCAATTCACAAATATCTCATTCGAAATGCTATTGCAAAATGAGTTGTATAACTACAGCTTAGTCGCCTCAGTAGTGTATCTTTTGCATATTTTGCTTGTATTTTGGTGAAGTTCCTTCTAGCAAAAAGATTATGAATTTTATAAAAGGTAATTTTAGAACAGAGTTCTTGTCAGGTCAAATAATCAATATTGTCTTCACAGACGCATATTGCATAGACAAGTATTATGGTTTATATGACATAGGCCGTATAGTACCCATTACATCAAAGAATTGCAGAATGAAGGACTTGACAAGTAAACATCTTATCTTGAAAGAAGTCAACCATTGTGTATAAATATATATAATATATTAATCCTAACACAGTTTTAATAATCGTAAGACGGTTGTGTATAAATATGATTCAAATGTATCTGTACAGATTCCCTGACTTGTAGTGAGTATAATGGGCTGTAGAAAGTGTGGTAAAGAGGCTTCAACCCCACCCCCTCCAATAATTAGGATGGAGTGGCTTAGCCCCCTACTCCAATGTTCATTGCTACGAAGAGCTTTTCATTATTTTCCTTGAAATGAGTCACTGTTGAATTAAATTTTTCTAAAAGGTCAGAAGGCCACGCCCTGGTTCAACCTTTCAACTTACGTGCTCAACCACCCACCCCCTGAATACAAAGCACATACTTATTTTAGATTTTTTGAATTTATAGTTTTACATGTGCTTTGTTGTTGGCAAAATTTATTTGTTTATCTCTTGTTCATCTATGGCTTATTAAAGCACCTTACAGACGAACAAACTTTCTATGACAAATAGTTGCTATCCCGTGTCTACGGGCAACGAACTTTTACGTCAAATTTTAGGTGGCGAATTTTCTTTGATCGTCTGTACGTATCAACATATCAGATTTGGTTGATTTGTCATATTATCTTTGTAGACCTTACAGAGGAAGAAAATCAGTTATGTGGCAATTTTTACGACAAATGCATTTATTCAAAGCTGACACGCTAGCGTTTGAACAAATGCATTTGTCAAAGAAAACTTTGCTACAAAGTCCCATACAGACGGGAAAAAGACGTTTGCCACATATAAATTTGTCAAAAAAAGTTTTCTCGTCCGTAAGCGGCCGTTATTGATATTTGTAAACTATAACTTCTTGAAATAGTAGAATTTTTGAAAAAGTTTTGTCCAGTCATGTTCTATGTGGGGACTTCTTTTTTCTCAGGTATTGCTGGATTTTTCTTGAAACATGTTGAAACAGGAAAGTGTATTTATGATACAAAGATAGTACAGTCAAGATATCCACTACCAACTGGGGGAGAAAGGACACTTCACTTCTTGGAGCTTTCCGACAACTGTCTTCATCCAGCATCTCAGTTCAAATTTCTAAATAATGATGCCGTATTGAAGTTGAACGTAGCAGGTTGTCTTCAGGGAGTTTATAAGGCAGGAAATGGTTACTATCTTGATATGCTATATATCCACACTGATACACACAACATTAATGACGTTGCTTGTGTCAACAACAATGCTGTAACCCAAACCTCTTGGGGAGGTCTAGCAACGCGGTACGACCGCGCTGGATATCAATTTCGATGTTTAAGACCTCGTACTTCTAAAGAACTAAAAGACATTCAAGGAGTTGATCCTTATTTGAAAATGGCTAGTTGTAAATTTACACCTAAAAAGCAATTTCATTTCGGTAAGGGTTATTTGGTTCTTAATTCATATTTCGGTCCACCAAAATTTAAAACACATGAAAATATTTTAAATATTCACAAGTTATTAAAAAACATGGTAAATCAGCTACGGAAAACATGAGAAATCAGCTCAGCACACAAGAAACGGTCATATTGGTATTCAAAAAAAAGAAACTTCATTAAAAAAAATTTTTATTGGTACACCAACATGTCGGCCATGATGTCAGGTGACAATGTTCTATAGACTTGTTTTCTTGTGATTTAATTAATACAATAGAAGATTACGATCTTCTATAGTCTTTCTAATGCAGTTTCGATTGACTGGCGAAAACCAGTTTACTACGGGTGCTTTAGCATTACGGTACGAAAGGGCTGGAAGTAAATTGCGCTGTTTAAAACCTGCTAAACATAATTCACCGAGAATCCAACAAAGAATTGATCCATACCTTAAGAATGGCGTCTTGTCAAGATGAAAAAAACAAGAAAGTTCATTTTGGTAGGAAATATGTCAAAAATATTTCACTGTTTCTATTTTAAAATTTGAAGTGTTTGTGTACTGTTTATGGATTTAGGTTACTTTAACAGTTTGGACGATTTTAAACACTTTTGCAATATATTTTATAGTTAAAAAAATTCAGCTTTGCGGGTTTTCGGCACTCTTAGTTGGTGATTTTCAGTATTTTTAACGTTTGACCACAGTATGAGAAAACTGACATCAAATCGGGAACTCCATTGTAAAGGTTGCACTATATTTTATATAGGATCGTGTAGAAAACGGCCTATATAAGCAGATTTTTTTTGTAATATATTGTTTTATAATGTATAAGCAAATGAAAACAAAATACGATGTGAAATGACACAAGAAAGCTGTTATAGTGTTTTCTAAACGCGTGTTCCCGATTTGATGGCAGATCGGGACTCTCGTCATAATTTTTGTAGTCACAGCTAAGCAAAAAATTATCAACTTTCAGCAAGAAAAAATCCAGGCACATGAAATTTTTGACATATAAATTATGTTGCAAAAATGTTCAAAATCATCTGAACTATCTAAAAAGCCCGACTTGAAAAACAGGACATTGGCACTTTAAGCTAAGTATGATGCAGCGCTTATTAAACTTACTGTGATAAAGTGCACAGCTAGTTACCTTCTGACCACTCTTCTGAGAATTTTCGTGTGCCTGCCACTGTCCAATGGCACTGTCTAATTCAATTTGTACCATTATGCCACTGAGTGTAGCTATAAGTCCGCCTGTAATAGAGCCCACTTGCATGCAAGCCCATACACAAGCCCGAAGACCAGGGTCCTAACTAAGACTATTTTATTGTCGACATCAAGACTAGCACTGGGGGTGTGCACCCCAGTGCATGCTAAAGCGTTTTATATGGAGTGATGGGTTTTTATTATCACAACATTTATGACATGAAAACTACTGTGTAGATAACAACAGTATAATATAGTCCATACATCGTCCCCTCACGTGTTTAAGCGCTCAAGTGTATAAGCTCGTGAAAAAGGGCTTACTAACTTATTTAAGCCCTGTTTTTTGACCATTTATGACTTGTTAATGTAGTGTTGTAGACATGCCACTATTAAGTTAATTAACATTTTGTACATTTTTTGTGTTTTCAATAGGTTCCGTGACTTGCGCTCGACAAAAAATAATGTACGCCAGCTGTCGTAAAAGACAATATATGGTAGTAAAGACTGCAGAATATCGTGGATTGAACCAAGGAAATGTTTGTGGTTCAAGTTACTATTACAACTGTAGTGTTGATGTTACGTGTCGTCTAAAAAGACTTTGTGATGGCAAACGAGAATGTAATGTAACTGTCGATGATAATCTTTTCCCTTCAAAAAGTTGTCTTGGTTTGGACAAATATCTTTACTTTGAATATCAATGTACCTCTACCATGACGTCATTCAATGAAACTTGCAGTAAGTGATGTGGACATGTAAACGTGCTTTTGATTGATTTGATGAACTAAATATGTAGTTATACTTCAATGTCTGCCAGACTAAGATCACTAAGGAGAATATTCATGTTAATCAACTTGTTATCATCAACTAATGATCTTTTACGATTTTTTATAGTTGAAGATATTCAGTTATCACAGTCGACATTACCCAGCGAAGGTTTTATGAAACTTTTTACTAAAGATGACAGGGATTTCGCTGTCTGTAAAAGTTCCTTGGAAAATGTCAAAGATAATGTTTGTCGTTTTCTTGGCTACCCTAAAGCCGATCAAATAATGGGGAAGACTTCCCGTAGTTCAATGTCTAAAGCTGGAGAAGTAAACTGCAGAGCTACTGTGGCACCTTCATTTCTATGTACGGTTACACCAAGTAGTGGCTGTTCCGAGTATTCAATTTTAAAATGTAAGTTTCGGGAAAAAAATAAAGCTTGATATTTCAATATTTTTTTAGGATAAAATATACTCATTTAATAAAAACGACAAGATTTTTTAAAATAAACATGTTTCAACATCTCATGATGCCATCTTCAGTATAATAAGGAGTATTATGTATGTGATAAATGTATATGAGTAATATGATACTGTGATACAATTTATACACTTATGAATAGATTATTATATTACAATGAAATAGTGGTTAGAATTAATGATGAAAGTATTTACAGGCTGAATATAGTGTTAAAACGAAAACTTGAACGTTTAGATTATGGTTTGTGTTGTTAATGTGAAGTGCTTCTTTGATTTTGAGTGCGAATGCAGTATGTGCAGTGTCGATGATTTTAAAGCAAGAGGGTGAATAGTTAGTTTTGCATGAAGGTGATTTTAAAAGGTGTCGAAAGATATGTGAGTTTTTGTCAGTTGTGGTGTGATCCCTGATTCTGGAGGATAAATGACGGGAAGTTTCGCCAATATATCGGGAATTACATCCCACACAATCGAATTGGTATACCACCATAAATTTAATAGAATCAGGGATATGATCTTGGAATGAGAAGTAGTTTTTGATTTTGAAAGAAGTGAAAATTAGTCGGATTTTAATGTCAGTGCAGAAGCATTTGATGATGTTTGTAAGTCTGTGTTGTGTGAGTCGTGAATGATGTCCGATGTACGGTAGTTTAAAGTAAAGAGTTTTTATGGACTGTTCGATGTTGTTGGTCGTGATTGTTATGTCGGATGTTTTGGTGTTTGCTTTGCAGTTAGTATTAGTTTTTTCATGGAGATATCGTTTGATAGTTTTGTTGATGAAGTGTAGTGGCAAAGAGTTGCGTAATAAAATAGATGTGATGTTCTTAAGGTCTTGTAGAAAGTCATTGTCGGTGTTGTTAATTTTGTATGCTCTGTCTACAAGTGTGCGTATTAATCCAGTCTTGTATGAAAGTTGTGTGAAACTGAAGTAGTTCGTCAATAGTCACGTGTAGGTTGGTTTATGATACGTCGACGTTGTATAGGTGTCATGTGATTTTGTTAATGAAATGTCTAGAAAATGTAGTAGGTTTTGTTATTCAGTTTCGAAAGAAAATTTAATGTTCGTTTGTTGTTTGTTGATATAACTAGTTACAGTAGTTACTAGTTACACCAGAATCAAGGAACACACCACAACTGACAAAAAACTCACATATCTTTCGACACTTTTTTAAAATCACCTTCATGCAAAACTAACTATTCACCCTCTTGCTTTAAAATCATCGACACTGCAGATACTACATTCGCACTCAAAATCAAAGAAGCACTTCACATTAACAAAACTAACCCTAATCTCAACATTCAAGTTTTTCGTTTTAACACTGTATTCAGCCTGTAAATACTTTCATCATTAATTCTAACCACTATTTCATTGTAATATAATAATCTATTCATAAGTGTATAAATTGTGTCTCAGTATGGCATCACGAGATGTTGAAACATGTTTATTTTGATGAAGAGTCATTTTGACTCTGAAGATGACTACCGCTAAGGTTGTCGAAACGCCACTCAACAACAACAACTTTCTCAGGACTATACCAACCTGGACGATCTACATTACAAACATGTAACGATACTCCCGGGTTCAAACCATCTACTCAATAATTATTTTGTCACCTCAGGTCATGTTTGTGATGATCCGCTCTTACAAAACACACAGAAGTTCCCGGACTCTTTGTTTGCTGCCTCGACCCAGGACCATAGCGCAAAAGCTGCAAGAATATCCAGTGGCAGTTCGTGGTGTGCTCCTGCTGCTGATGGCAATCATTATCTTCAACTGAATTTCCCAAGTCTTTATACAGTTAACGCTATCGCAATCTTTGGAGACAGTTCAAGTTCAAGCTTTATAACTGAATATCATTTGCTTACAAACATTGACGGTGTTAATTGGAACTCTGAAAAATACCAAAAGGTAACAAAAAACTTTTCTAATTATATTTTGTTGAACCATACCAGTATTCTATAGCAAATGCTTTAATTTTACTGGCTAGTCTAGTCAAAAATAGTAAATATAGTAAAGCGATAGATAGCAAGTTGCGAAAAACATGGCTGCCTACATTGCCATCTCGCGTTTTACTTAGGTTTCTGACAATAAAGTTGATTGTTTATTTCAGAAAGCAATTCTAGAGAGGACTAAAGTTTCCACTCGATACAACATCAAGATTTTGTAGCGTAAAATTAACAAATTTAATTGAAATAAATAAACGTGCATTCAGGAAGAGTCGTTTACCTTTCAATGCGGACATTGAAAACTACAGCAAACGCAATAAAACTTTAAAAAATTAAGGAAAACTATTACAACCTTTTTCTTTATGAATACTAGTATGAAGTAAGTGGTTTTAACTCGGGAGTATTTCGATGTAGATCGTCCAGGTTAATAGAGTCCAGAGAAGGACTGTTGGTTTTATGTTGACTGACGTTATAACAACCTTAGCGGTAGTTATCTTCGATTTACTTTTATTCTTTTTTATAAGAATTCTGCTGTCTCCAAATTTCGTTTTGGTAACTTTACTAATTAATCGTCGGCTGAAACAAGATTGTAACTTTAACAATCAGTTTGTGGCAATATGAACCAACAGATTCTTTCCTCGCGTTTAACTCTTCAAGTTTAATTTGCAGTTTGTGGCTTTGAAAAGATATTCAGAAGATCCATTAGCCACTATCCCGTTTAGAGCGTCAAACAAACCCGACTTTTCTCTAACTTTCTCAACCTTTCCCTACCCAAATACGTAAGTCATTATTTTCTCTTGTTTCAGATTATACAACAAAATTGGAATGGTTACAATGATGTAGCTATAGAGAAATTTTCTCGTGGCATTAAAGCTAAAAGCTTGCGAATAGTTCCGGCGAAGTCTATTGGTAAACCGTGTTTACGAATTGAAGTTTGTGGGGGAGGTAAGGAGTGAAAATATGTCTGGTTTGCTTTGCTCTGTAAAGGAGGTATTAATATACTATATATAAACTTGCTCTTAAAATTAACTAAACACGTGAAATTTTCTTATTTGGGGCATTCTATGCATGTCCCATGGAAACAACGAATAAAGAAGGCAAATCTTAACATTGCGATCTCAGACTTCAGTGTTGCACTACATGTTTCGTTTTTCCACAATTTCCGAAGTTTTTACTTAGCATAATGACGTTCCACTTCTTTGAAATCAATGAAATTCAGACGAATTATTCTATTTTATCACATGATTTTATCCATCTCAAAATGCAATGATACCAAGTTTACCTTTTTTTTTTCTTTTATCATTCAGACATGCTACCACACAAACCAACACATCTTACTGTGAATGAAGTTGCATCAAGATACCTCAAGATAACCTGGAAAGATCCCGAAATCACTGGTATGAAACTTGGCACAAATATCTTGAATCCTCTGACCAAAGTTCGATTAATAGTGCTGAAGGATACTGTCGTTATTTTTAAAAAAACTTGGGAAGCAACTCTAATTAAACCTTACAAATTAGAGAATCTCATTCCTTACACAACGTATGTGATAAATGTAACCGCTGGCAACTCTGAAGGTTTTGGTGGATCAATTAAAGCTAGTTTTACCACTGCTGAAGATGGTGAGCTCATATTATTTGTGCATTCATTTTGGTTTTGTTTGCATTGATGGTTTTATTGTCGTGGACGAATTTTGAGAGCTAAAATCGTTTGCTGGTGGACTCTTGTGTCAATCATGATTTTCTTTTGTGTTTTATATAAGTTAGTAATGACAGTACACTGGTTGGGATTTCTTTTTAAAGTGTTTTTACTGTTTTAGATGAATCTTTAAAAGATGTGTTTTTCATTTTTGTTCAGTTCCCGAAGGTCTACCTTTAAATGTTAACATTTTCGCCATCAACAGTTCATCGTTATCAGTCACGTGGAAGCCACCTGATGTAATCAAAAGAAACGGAAAGATAGTCAGTTACACTGTTTGTATTACGCAATTGGAGAATGAAACGTGTTCAACGAACTATACCACCAAGGAACAGCATTTTCAAATAATTAATAATGTGAAGCCAGAGACAAAATATTATGTTCGCGTTTTAGCGTCTACGATAGTGGGATCTGGAATTTACAGCAATAGTACATGGGCATTTTCAAATGGAGGTAAGTTGTTTATCGTTGAAGTAAAGTTTTGATTAGGGTGATAAATTTATTCTACTTTCAATTTTAGTGGCACCTGTACTGCCCACGACGCAGATTGGAAATACATTGACTTATTTTTTGCAAAATCCAACTTTGGAATATCGGTTTGTAGCTACCTCAGGGTCAATTTTTACATGCTGTAAGGAACAAAGAACTATTTTTTGACTTTTTTTGAGTTTTTTTGGAAACTCTTTGCTCAAGTACATATAGGACAATAGTTTTAATGAGAGGATTGGGGAGGTCTAAACAGCTGCTCAGTTTTTTAGGGCAGTGCCTAGATGTACAACTTGTATTTGGACAATTGACGAAAGCAGAGGGTATGCGTGTATTTTTAAAAATGTTTTGCCTTCAATTTGCAGATATTTCGTCGTAGTAGTGATGGAATATGGCGAAGAAGAGAATCGTTTCACTTCTAACTTCAAAAACACAGACTTAATGACTTATTCTGAGGCCATTGCCGCCACGCAACCAACGCCGTATATTGCCGCCGTAATGTCTCGCGGAAATTTTAAGTCTGAGTTCACACTTGGGGATAGCGGAAACACAAGTCTTGCAGGGACAAGAAGACGGCGTTCTAATGGTAAAATTTATTATAATGGGCCGCTGAAGCCCGGCACTAACTACAGAATATTTCAACGCGTTTTCTTAAACGATCAGGTGCGATCTTTTCAATACCTTTTTCCCTGCATTAATAACAACATTTTTTATTCAGATATGAATGTTCACTTTGCTTCAGGGGGATTATTATTCTACGGACTGGAGTCCAGTGGTAGCAACTGCCCAAAAGCGGAAGTCATCAGGTTGGTGTTTGCTATCAATAGCTTATGTGAAATTTATGGATGTCTGAAGTGTAATGTTTCAAGATCGTTGCAAAGTTCGTTTTACCAAGTGTCTGAAAATTCTTGATAATGGATAGTGATTTTGTTTGATGATGCAGCAGAGGTTCAACAAGTAACTGAGGCAAGGATTTTGTACATCTGTATTCTAATTGCATTGCGTTCAAAAATAAACTACCGTACATAAGATATGGATGTTTAAGCCAGTTACTGCTTCAATTCATACTTTTTTGAAAGTTTCCAGGTCATTTGTATGAAATTTCATCCTTTTGGGAGAAGGAAAAGGAATTTATGACAGACATATGTAATGTGTTAGAAATTGCATGTTCTGTTTATAATCAATAACATGTACACGCAATGTGCAAAAAGCCGCAGGGGGTGCAAAAAGTGCCCACTCTCACCCCCACCCCCACCCATTGAAAAGGATTGTTTAAGAATTTTAACTTGTCAAATTTGAGACATGTGTAGAAATGAAAAAGATTGAAATTAAAAATTAACAAACTAAGATGTCAAGGATATATAACAATAACTTTGACAAAGCAATTAAAAAAAATAATGTTGCGCGCATATTTTTGGTATAGAACATCATGTCATGTTTTTGACTGGCTTCGTTGGTCATTCATTTAATCCATTTTGCAGCATTTAAAAAGCTCGACATCATTTGTTGTTTTCACTTAATTTTTATCGAACGATTTACTTCTGCTTGTAAGTTCTCCATAATGTTTAAAAGTGGCAAATGGTTTAGACTTTGTCCGTTGCATCACATGTACCTAGTTAGTTGTAAGATATTTTAATACAGCTCCACTTGCGCGTTTGTGATCATTGTGATGTTGGAACACACGCAAACGAATATAATGTACTGCAATATCAAGTTATCTATTCATACCTTTAGGTTGCCATGTTTTCTTTATAGTTGGTACCAGAGCCCTGTATTTGTAAGAGTTGTATTGCTCTCTGCATTTTGTATTATGATAAAGGTGATTGGGTAGAATGGGTCACATGGGCATCTTGCCGCCATTTTCGTTCCAAAAGCGCAAATTATAACCATTTTTTACTTAGGAGATAAATTATGAAAAAATGTTTACAACGATTTTATGATGCGTTACAATAGTGCCAATCAAAGCGATGTAGAATAGAAACATTTTTGTTCACCCCTTGTACACTTAATGTTTTTATTTGCGTTTTATTTTTTATCATTCATTTTCATCTTATAGACGGCGGAAATCCTGGAGCTATTGCAGGTGCAGTTGTGGCTGCTGTTTTGGTCATTGTTCTTATCGTATTGGTCATTCTGTTTGTGAGAAGGTATGATTATTACTTTGGGATTTTTTAACGTGCCAGTTTTCCAACATTAAATAATTACGTACCAGTTTTCCATCATTAAATAATTATGTACCAGTTTTCCAACATTAAATAATTACGTACCAGTTTTCAACATTAAATAATTACGTACCAGTTTTCCAACATTAAATAATTACGTACCAGTTTTCCAACATTAAATAACTACGTACCAGTTTTCCAACATTAAATAACTACGTACCAGTTTTCCAACATTAAATAATTACGTACCAGTTTTCCATCATTAAATAATTACGTACCAGTTTTCCATCATTAAATAATTACGTACCAGTTTTCCATCATTAAATAATTACGTACCAGTTTTCCATCATTAAATAACTACGTACCAGTTTTCCATCATTAAATAATTACGTACCAGTTTTCTATCATTAAATAATTACGTACCAGTTTTCCATCATTAAATAATTACGTACCAGTTTTCCAACATTAAATAACTACGTACCAGTTTTCCATCATTAAATAATTACGTACCAGTTTTCCAACATTAAATATCTACGTACCAGTTTTCCATCTTCCAGAATTAAAATTCAGCTTCCGTTTGGTGTCAACACCTTTTAAATTTCCCCCTCTTAGACGGCGTAATGGAAGGAAACGTTCTGGGTCCGTTAAAAAATCAAATGTAGAAAAGGTCAGAAATCACGGACCATCTGTAATGAATCAAGTATTTGTTGGAAGCCATAACATTGGAAATATCAACACTCCTGATAACATCAATAGCCCGATGAACAGACAGGATGAATCAGTTCTTCTCCTGAATGAAGAGAAAGTTTACGAGAACAATGCTGGTAATATTTATAAAATCGATTGGCAACATCAGTTTGTGTGTTGTCTATTTTAACACGTTTTTGTGGCTTTTTGTGATGACAAGTTTTTTGTCTGCAATAGCTTAGAGCTTTACTTCGTGTTACTTAGTTTCGTTTGTGTTGGTTAATTTCATGTGTCAATTTTCACACGTGTTACTTGATTTTGTGTGTATTACTTAGTTTCACGGTGTGTTAATATTTTCATGTATTTTACTTATAGTTTTATGTGCGTTGCTTAGTTTCATGTGTGTTTTTAGTTCCATGTGTGTGACTTAGATATTTTCATGTGTGTTACTTTGTTTCCTTTGTGTTAACTTAGTTTCACATTCTTTACGTCTTATACAAGCAAAATTATTTACATTTGTTACTGAAATAGAGTAAACCCTCTTCATTGCGCTTGTAAACTTTTTAAATGACGTTCTTTGTTTAAAGATAATAACATACTTATTTTCTCTCCTGTTGATGTTTTCCTTTGTGTACTCTTTAAGCTATTACCGCCAAGGATCGTCAACCAATTCCCATAGCAATGTTCGAGAGACACGTGAGGAAACTGAAGCATAACAACATGAAGGAACTAAAGTTAGAGTTCGAGGTAATGTTGCACCAGCTATCATTGAGTTAAGCGCATGCGCATTTAATTGAAAGGTTTTACTTAGGTTTTCGTTGTAAGAGACGAGAGCTTATCATTGAAAGCTCGTAGTAATTGTACAAACGATCTACTTACGTATATAAAAAGTACGTAAAACTGCAAGTTCTTATCTCATAATATAAGAAATTTTTCCGTTGTCACAGTTAATCGTCTGTCCAATCAAACTACCCAAACTTTCACACGTTTTTTTTGACACTGTCACACATTTGGTGTAACACTTAAATGATTTTGATTTTTTACAGGATTTACCAAATGGTCAAATGTCCAATTGGGATGTCGCGAAGAAACCTCACAATACTTCAAAAAACCGATATGGAAACGCTGTCACATGTAAGATTATTAGCCAAGAAACTTTCAATATTCCGAAACTTGTGTGAAAGCACAGTCATGTGTGAGATTATGGACGAAAAAACTATACCATAATGACGAAAACTGATTGAAACGCAGTCAGATGTAAGATTATTGACTAATAAATCTTACTACTAATATAAACGGAGCAATATTGATTATTAGTCTCAGAACCATGCATTACTAATGAAGGCCGTTTCATTTAGACGACCATTCTCGTGTGATACTCTCCGGAGATGAAAAAACTGACTATATTAATGCTTCATTTGTCGACGTAAGTGTTCTACAAAGCTTTTGTTCATTAATTTAACCATATACAGGGTGTCCCCCGAAAAACGGAACCCACACAAACTAATTTTATATGTGCCGAAGTTACTATGCACAATACTATCACAATAGCATTCACATGCTGTTGGATGAACTTGACAGTTCTGCACCTCTGGGATTTCATAGAGTTTGTACACAGTATTACTGAAGCAAGGTAAAGTACGTACTATCATACACGTACTTTCATCTCAATTTATAACGCAAAATCTTTGTAAAATCAAAGCGACATTAACAATGTTAAAACGGCCACAAAAACGTAATCGTACTTTCCGTGATTTACATTGAACATTGACAGACTAGCGTGTAAACAAATCAACCAGGCGGAACAAACAGCTGTTGCAGACTAAATTATTTTGTGCAGATTTCATTTTAATACATACATAATTATTTGTGTGGGCTCCGTTCTTTTGGCACATCCTGTATGTTGATTGTCGTTCGAATAATGTAAGTGAACGGTTGCTTACTGATATATGGGCTGATTACATAAGCCCGGGTTTATACGGGTTCAGTCAAGCGTTAAATGATTTTGGCAAATGGAAAAGATTCAATACTCTTCATCAGATAAATCTTCTCTGGCAATTTCACAATATTCTGGTTTAATAACTACACAAAACATTTAAAATTACAACAACCAATTTGGTTTAATTTGAGAACTACAACAGGAATGACTTGTGGTGCTTAAACAAACAGTTGTAATTTTTACGCTTGAAGTTTCGACTCCTTTCAATACCTCAAAATCATTTCACGCCTCGCTGAAACACGGCTTGCCGGGATCATGTAAACAGCCCTATAGACTCCATGCAATTGTTGTTTAACCTTTCTACGTTTAAATTTCAGAGCAAAACTGACAATTATTACATCGCGACCCAAGGTATGTAAAAAGGTACTATCGCACGTGCCTTTTCTAGTTCTAAAGGAGGTTTTGAATGCGAAATGATTGTTTATTCAATAATTTCAAGGTGTACCACATTAGTGTCAAAAGATATGCAGTTACTTATCATTGCGTTGTTAGAGATTATTTATAAGTAAAACCATGTTAGTGAGCTTACTTAGTCATCAAATGTACACAAAAGCCAAGGGAGGTTGAGTAAAACTTGCATTGTAATACTATGATTGCCAAAATGCTTTAGCCAGTGTTTCACATAATGTCAAGTATTGTGTAAATTAAATGTTTTTGTGTTTTTGGAATACTATGTGGTGATTTTTATTATTTCAAACCAACATTCGGGATTGTCTGTAATACCACAGAATGTGGAATCTACAGAAGGGTCACTCGTATCGGAGCCTTTGATATTTTTGTCCTCGCGCATGTTGTGCCGCGCATATAAAGCCATTATTCCAGCAAGATATTTAGGGCTTTTCACTTGTTCCCAACCACTAAAATGACCGAACGTCAATTCTTCTATTGAATTATTTTCAATTTCATTGTGAAGAAATGACGTCTTGTAATTGCAGCGGTTGGAAAAAAGTGAAAAACCGTAAGTATCTTGCTGGAATGATGGCGGCCGTAAGGATGCGGTGCACACCTGAGTGGCTCTTCTGTATAATTTTTATTCTGAGCTAATATTACCAGTACATGCGACTTGTAAAGACGTATTAATTGTAATACAACCTTTAAATTTGAATATTAAATTCTAATTAGGTAAATACGTACATTATTAATTCGTTAAACGAGAACGAAAGAACTTGAGGCGACCATGCATCATTATACTTTTTTCGATTTTTATCAAACTAAATTGACTTACATTTTATCGTTCATATGCTATAACGAAATTCCTTCTCTTTGTTCTCCTTCTTTCAGGACCCAAACCCAAAACAGTCAACGACTTTTGGAGGATGATATTCGAACACAAGTGTCCAACTATTGTGATGTTGACGACATTAAAAGAAATGGGAAAGGTTTGAACAGTGTGGCCATACATATGCTTTTTTTCAGTAGGTTTGGTCTGACGAGTTTAGACTCTTCCACCTGCTTTATTTAGCTTAAAAGTTTAGAACAGGGGGGGGGTGTTGTTTAAACTCATCCGTCCGAATCTGGTTAAAAACTTGCATACGTGGTTACACTTGGTGGGACCATTGTGTCGACATAAATTATTTAATTTACATTCCATAAAAGCGCCAACAGTTAGAGAATCAAACTGGCAAATAATAACTACCGTTTTAGAGAACTTTCATTTTATAGAATAAATATTTTCGTGTCATTTTGAATCGTGATAACGAATTAAATGATTCAAATTGTACATACATCGTGCTTTTCCTCTCAGGTGAAATGTGAAAAGTATTGGCCAGATGAATCCAAGATATACGGTACGATCCAGGTGACCATCACCAAGACTAAAGCTTTTGCTGATTACGTCTTGAGGTCTGCAGTAGTGAGTAAGGTAAGTCAGTCTTAGAGCAAACCTCCATGAGGCTGCATGTGTAAGAGGGAATTGTGGTCGGTCGTTTTTCTATATTATTGATTTACCTGTGTATGCACTAATTAATCAGAAATTTACAAAGACGTCTTTCTTGATACTACTGAAAGACTGCGAGATAAATCGTTATGAAAGAATTTTCCTCTATTTTTAACGGTTACCTTCATTTTGCCGTTGTCCACGTTATCTTTTACCTTGTTCTGCAACAGAAGTATGGTGTGTCCACCTCATTGCTGACAGACCCTTATGTCATAAGCTTGGAGTGAACCCTTAGGAATGTATCAATCACAATCTATGCCGTACTTTGTGAAATAATCTATTCTTTGTTTTCACTTTGAAATTATTGTTAAAGGAATAATGTCGTCGGTCGTTCCACGCGACGAAGGGACAAATCGGACGCTGATGTTTTTTTTTATCTTTTACCTTTAAGTGTTAGTACCTAGTGTTTGTTGTTATTGTTATAGGATGGTGAGCATCACAAAGTTCAGCAGTTTCATTACATTTCATGGCCGGACTATGGCGTGCCTCGTCATCCAACACAACTATTGACATTTAGGAAGCATTTCAAATCTTATCACAAGACAAAAGCCGGTTTTGCCGTCATCCATTGTAGGTTAGTGATAACATGTGCCAAAACTAGACGTTAATTGAGAGGGGGGGGGGTGAATATTCATATATTCGGTTCTGTCCTGCTGATTTCTTTTGAAAATAAAATCGCTAACCAAAAAAACCAGTTGGGCAGTGCTAAATATGAATATTCACCCCCCCACCCCAATTAGCGTTCTAGTTTCGGTCCTGCATGTGTAGTAAATCTTAAAATAATCCTTCACTGTAGGTTAGTGATGACATGTGTAGTAAATCTTAACATAATCATCCATTGTACATTAGTGATAACATGTGTAGTTATTCTTAATATAATCATGCATTGTTGGTTAGTGATAAGATGTGTAGTTTAAAGTACTAGCCTTTCTCCTCGCTGCAATAGTTTTGACTATGTTGCCAACAAGAATGAATGCAAGACGATTTTGTACCTGGGGATGCTCATGTTTGAATTGAATGTTGTTGCTGTTTACGGTTGTCTATTTGTCTTTGCCTTTTTTTGTCAGGAATTTTATATGCTTGGCAACCAGTGTAGGATTTAGTTGAGGGAGGACGGTTTGAAATGGTTCAAACCTCTTCTCTCTCTGGACTATTTATAGTATATTGAAATGCATGCATTAAAAGCTTGCACTAATAACATGCATGAACATAGTTTTATTGTTTACGTATTTGCTGACGTGTGAAGTCATAGTAAGCTACTATTGATAGTACACGAGATCTATTTGTCTGGGAAGTTAAGTGTCTTAGCAGTTCGGTGGTAGTTCAGTGTCGTAGCAGTTCAGTGGAAGTTTAGTGTCGTAGCAGAAGTGGAAGTTCAGTGTCGTAACAGAAGTGGAAGCTCAGTGTCGTAGCAGTTCAGTGTAATTTCAGTGTCGTAGCAGTTCAGTGGAAGTTCAGTGAAAGTTCAGTGTTGTAGCAGAAGTTGAAATTGCCAAAATTTCCCACTTGGTGTGCTTCTCCCAGTTTTATAAACACTTGATTTTGTGTTGGGACATGAGCTCGTTTTAGTGGATGGATAATACTTATTTTAGGTCATTGATACGTTACAGGTTGTATGTCTTTAATACTAGTAAATTTTTCCGTTTGCTTTCTTCCTATAGCGCTGGTGTTGGTCGTACTGGAGTATTTATTGCCATAGATAAAATTCTCGATGATCTTGATGATGAATATGAAACAAATATTGATGTATTTGGCTTTGTGAAAGAGATGAGATCGCGGCGAATAAACATGGTGCAAACAGCGGTATGTCAATGAATGTATAATAGGGACATCTCTACACATACAGTACTTCAGTGGGTATCATTGAGTGTGTGTGGAGAGTGCTTATGTATAAAGGTGCTGCAGACAGCATGTCCTAATTGTCCATAACAGTGACATCTCTACTTTGGATGTATTCAAGGGGGTGTTTTTCCATAGGAGAGCAGTAGCAAAACCAGAGGAGAGCATGTTTATTCATCCTATTTTGCCAAATTAAGTTCCCCTAAAATTTATTATGTTTAGACATAATAATTTGCATGAATGAATATTATCTTCCCCTCACACTCACAATTATCGAGGTGACGCAATGATTTTGAACGTGATCCTAGCTCTTTATGTCTATCTGCTGAGTCAAGGTGAGGCAAGGACGCCATCTTAAAAGGTGGCAAAAAGCAAAACTCAAAATGAAAGATAAGTTCAATGAAGGTTTAAAAAGCCAATCCTATCAAAAAATTTAAAAATTGAATCCAGACCAGCAACTTTCCAACTGTATATCAACTCTCGAAATGCAGATTTTAATCGTGAATAGCGTAAGTTTTCCAACTTTCAAGATGGCGGCTTGCCTTTCTCGTAAATATAGAATTTTTGCGGAGTCACATATCTAGTAGATTTGGTTCTATGTCATTGAGCTGTAGACGCCATTAGAGAAAGGGTGCTTTATTGTGATTGAAGAGTTAAAAGATATGCGCTTTAGTTTCCATGTCAATCTTGTAGGTATGATTTATTTCACATAGAATTAACTACCTCAAATTTACTGGTGGTGTGATCACTGTCCTTATTTGCAAATCTTTTTGACACAAAGATAATGAAGTTCTCAAGATGGCATCTGTATTTTGAGAAACATCAATTTTTCGCAAGTTACTTTGTTTGTTTTTAACTATTGCTAGTACCTCATAGTTTATCATTTTGAGTAGAAAGCCATATGTTCTAACCAATCTAGGATCAGTACATGTTTATTTATGACGCTATTATGGAGCATATCCAATGTGGAGTGAATGAAATTGAGGCTATGCAAATCAAGGCCGAGATCGTACATCTATCAAAACAGCTTGGGAATGGAAGAACTGGATTTGAAGAAATATTTAAAGTAAATAAAATGGCGATACATAGTTTAAGATTGTACAATAGATTGTTACCTTGCATTATTTTACACTGCTGTATTTTGTTCGGACTTCTTGTTTCAAAATCACATTCCCTCTAATAAGGACGTTGGAGTGGAGTATATAAGTTTCTCAAGAAGTCAAGTTCAACTTAAATCACTCATGATGAAGACCCTTGACTTAAGTATGAATTAAGGACTTAAATTTTAGCATTAGATCACTCCTTATGAAGACACTACACCGGAGTATATAAAGACTCGAGTTTCAACATCAGATCACTCGTAATGAAGACACTAGACTGTAGTATGTAATATAAGAACTCAAGTTTGATCTTCAGATCACTCCTGATGAAGACTGTAGACTGGAGTACATAAAAACTCACGCTTCAACATCAGATCATTCCTAATGAAAACACCAGACTGGAGTATATAAGTACTCTGCTTTTGGCGCTGGGTTATTTTTTTGAGGAAGACGCTAGACTTTTGTATTTTGAGGAGTTATGCTTCATCATTTCAAAGTTGATGATTTTCTTAACAGCGTTTACAATCAGTTACAACAGAACTACCTGAAGAAGTTTGTGAAGCTGCACTTTTGAATGACAACAAGAAAAAAAATCGCAATCCTAAAATATATCCAAGTATGTTAATATTTACATAAAACGTCTGACGGAGACAAAGTTAAACTTTCACTTGTACTCCGTATTGTATCTTCGTTGTTTTGTATCTTGTCGCTTAAAATGTATACGTCCACTTAAGGAACAGCGGTGGATTCATAAAATTGATGAAGAGGTGGCTTCTTTTAATAATATCCTTCCCCCCTTTTCCCCTAATTATCGATCTTTGATTGTCACTGTACCGTCAGCCAGTCCGTGAGAGTTTGTTTTCTTTTTAGGTGAATCTAATCGTCCACACCTTAGCCACCTGGATCAAATCGAGAATTCCGACTACATTAACGCGTGTTTTGTTGACGTAAGTAGCTTTACGGAACATCTGAGTGAATATTTTTACAGCATTTATTATTGTTCCTGGGATATTTTAAAGCCAGTAAGGGAAACTGCACGACCACACTGCAGAAAACTATATTCGTATGGTGTTTAACCTATAAAACTGATATCTTTATGAACATGTCGTGCGTTGATTTAGGGTTACCTTGGCAAGAATTATTTTATTGCCACCCAGACACCTTTAAAAGAAACCATTAACGACTTTTGGAGGATGGTTTGTCAATATAAGTCTTGCACCATCGTTATGCTGAATCAACTCAACGAAAACAACCAGGTCTGTGATGAATCGAAAGAAAAGGAATTTTGCATTGATTATATTGTGATTCATTAGGGTTGTAGCTTTCTCGATATACTGTCTCTAAATTTAATTTTTTGGATGACTTGATTTGCTTTGGTATTTATCAGCAATATCCAATGTTTTGGCCTACGCAACGAGCCAGAGCTCAATCGTTTGGTAAAAGTACCGTCTTGTTGGATTCAGTTGTAACAAAAGATGACATTACCGTGAGAAAGTTTATTGTTTCGCCTACGATGGTGAGTTTTTGAGTCAGCATTAAGTTGACAAGAATTTATTTTGGGTTGATTCTTTTAGTTAAAATGGTGTTACATGTATGCATAAGACATAAGTAGCTACATGATGATTGACTGTTTAAGCTTGTATTTCTGATAGAAAACAATATGGACTAGAGTATCTAAAGACCACACTAGTTTAAAAATAACATCACTCGTCGAGAAGACACCAGACTGGATTATTTAATGACACAGGTTTCAACATAAAATCACTACTAACAAAGGCACTAGAATGGAGTATATAAGAACTGAAGTTTTAACATCAGATCATTCTTGATTAAGACACTTGACTGGAGTGTAATAACTTTTAACATTTCCGATATTTTAAGACTAAATTATTTACTACATTTCCTATTTTTTGTTTCTTAGGACATTAAAAATGGTCGTATGGTCCGCATGATTCACTACGTATCGTGGCCGGATCATGACGTTCCTAAAGATGTTCACAGTATGGTGGAAATTTTATCTGAAGTTGAAGATTCACAAAGAGCTGCTGATGTAAAGGGACCTGTCATTGTTGTGTGCAGGTAAACACGTGTCACTGGAATATTAGCAGTTGATTAGCCCGGTTTCTTTGCTCTGTTTCGTTAAAATTCAGCGGTTTAAGTTGTGTGTGTAGATCTCTACAAGATATTTGCTACAAACCTATAAGTACCTATAATTTTATTTTTTCGCATCTAGTGATGGAGCAGGTCGATCTGGAACCTATATTGCTATCTCAAATCTTGTCGACCGAGTCAAAATTGTCCAAGCGATGGATGCCTTCCAATGTATCAAGCTGATCCGGAATAGACGCCCGCAGTTCGTCGAAACGGCGGTAAGCTTGTCTTTCTAATTCTCATGAAGCCCCAATTGCACCAACACCGAGTGCTATTCTCATTTATGAACTATGCAGCCTCTACTAAATAGATCATAAAAAATTTGTTGTTTTGACTTTAAATATATCAATACTTTGACACATTTACAATCATCATATGTTGTATGGATATTGTCGGATTTCAACTTTAGAGTTCGTGCTTGTATGCGAACTTTGCTCTCAGTATCGCAGCCTAACTGCATGTTTGGTCCTGCTATATAGGTCGTGCTTTGTAAATCATCAGCATTATTTCTTTCTTTAGAAATCTGTTGTGTAATAGTTAGTCAACATTATTTAGATATCAATACAAATTTGCCTGATGGCTACGCTAATGGCTGCTCGGCTGTTTTCGCTTCTGATTTTAGTTTGACTTTTGAGAGTGGAAGCTTTTAGTTTGATAATAAATTTATGCCTGGATGGATAGGTGCTGACCCCCCCTGATATTTATTTTACTGAAGGTCTTTATATATGAGTTTTAATAGTTTTATCACTGCCGGCGTCACTGTCTGATAACCGTTAACGTGGACAATAATTTCTAAACAGAATGTTTCTGGAAACTTACACATTGAATTTTGTTTAGCTCGACCAACCTTGGTGATGTACTTAGTTTTTTGATTATTTCTATAACATTTTTATTATTTAGGATCAATTCAAACTCTGCTACCATGCAGTGAACTGCGTATTGGAGTTGTTCGACGACTACTCAAATTTCTCGAAAATAGGTGGAAGTTGAATTTTTATACTGTACAAATTTCTGGAAAATTTTTTAGATGGTTGCTGAAATGTTACATGTTCTGCAATTTTGTCTTCCATGAAAAAATAGAAATCAACACAAAAAACATTTAAATATTTACTTTAGTTTTAACGAAGAGAGTCCAAGTCAAGAATTGTTATATGTTTGTAGATGTAGATCGTCCAGGTTGGTAAAATCCTGAAAAAGACTGTTGGTGTTGATGTTGACTGACGTTTCGACAAAGTTGACTCTAAAGATGACTGCCGCTAAGGTTATCGAAACCTAAGTTAAAATCAACAACCGTCCTTCTCACGACTCTACTAACCTGGACAATCTACATGTGTAAAGATGTAGAGTCCAGGTTGTTAGGAAACCTGATGAGAGTGAATAATTCTGATTAGGATTTAAAAACAATTTGAAACATAACATAAAATTATTAAGTTTAGCAGTGACGTAGCATGTTTGGTCGTGTTATATCAATTTTTTTGTGTTCACTTACTGTAAAAACAATAGATTTCTAAAGAAATGAATAATGTTAATGGTCTAAAATATACATAGCACGACCAAATTTGAGGGCTGACTACGAATTTTGTCAATATTTTAAATAGTACAGTATCAGATATATTTTTCAATTGAATATATTAAATTGAGTACTAAGAACAAAAGTAATAAACAAAAAGCAAATCGAAATTAATGGCGAGTTCGAAACAGAAAATCAATGGCGGCCGTTGCCTCAAATTTCCGCCTCTGAACGATAGTGTAAAAATTAAAACACTTCAAAGGACATTTCACAACAAAAATCCAAATTTTGAAATAAAAGAGAGATTTGATTACTACATGTCAGTATTTTCCATCTAAAGATGATATGGGATGACTTAAGATGGAAATACATGCTGTAACATATTCACACAGATTTCCTTTTATCTCACAAGGAACTTTTCTCTTTTCCAAGACTTCAATATACAAGTACTCCAGTTTACATCACAGTTTGGGTAATCCAGAATTATGGCAACCATATTTAAGGGAATCATGGTCGGGTAAAGCGGACCTTCAAACACTCGAAGATGTAAACAAGCAGTGTTCTAGCTTTGCTTCTTTTTCTTGATTTGAATATTTGTTCTAAAATGTCGTATAAAATGTTTGACTACGAAAATTACCCGTCAAAAACCAATCCATCCATGCTGACTGTATTCTTCTACCCGTTGCTCTGTTTTATAGTTAACCATTTATTTTTGGAAGTCGTAAAGAAAACACAAATTTCTTTAAAAAACGATATTTCATTTCTCCCTTAATGGTTAGTTTTTAGATTTTATTTATTGGGATTCACATTGCTCCAGATATAGACACTTCGAATTTTCGAGAAATACTTGCTGTAATAAGTTTTCTGTTTATCTTTCGGAAATATCCAATATTTGACCAATGCAAACAACCAAATGCAACAGATTTGGTAAACAGTGTTATTGGATTCAGTCGTGACAAAAAATGACATCGTTATCATGAATCCATTGTTTTGCTGTCTATTTTATGTAGATTTAAAATGTTGATGTAGAAAGCATTAAGTGGACAGGCAGACATGTATAGTAGATTTTTGTTCGTATTACTTCGTATTTTGTTTGTATTCTATCGAGTATTCACTCTATATGGATTATTTAAGGACTCAAGACTCTATATCAGACAGATTATAAAAACCTGATAATAAAATGTACAACGAGTGAAATAGTAATAGATGTTAATAATTAATAATACATATATGTTTATAATTTTTAAAGGACATCAATTAAAGTTGGATGATACGCGTAATCAACTACGCGTCACAGAAAATTATGGCCCCACCCGAAAAATAATCACGGTTTAGCAGAAATTTTACCTGAAGTGGAAGGTTCAAAAAGAACTGCTGAAGTCAAAGGAGCTGTCATTGTTGTGTGCAGGTCATGTATGTATAGGGAGTGCGCGTTCACTTAACATCTCATATAATCGCGCGGATATTGAAGCTCTCCTTTCTTCATATACGTGGGAGGGGAGGGTGAGAACTATGCAACAAACTTTAATCCTTATATTTTGAAAATCAATTTTAATTGAAACTGGCGTATTCTTAATTCGATCTATGTTATTATGATGGAAATTATGTTTTATTTCAGTGGTGGTTCTATTTGATATCTCTAATCTTGCAGATTTCGTTAATCTGTCCAATTGGTTGATGTATTCTAATGCATCTAATTGCTGCGTTGCTCTCTGGATCAGCGGTAAGTAATCTCGTTTATAGCAAAAGTATAAGCGACAATTTTTCTGCATGCAAGCGAGAATATGACTCTTTTCAATCACACGATTTTCCAAAATGTTGTACATAAAGATTGAAATTGTTAATCTACGTATGTAAACTACATACAATCTTTCATCAATGAGATCTCCAATTCAGCAACCCGTTTTCCAAACTTTGTCAATTCTTTCAGATGCAACAAATCACATTGAAATATCTCAAGCGTAACTTCCGGTGAAACAGCGCACTTTGATTGGTTCAGAAACATTTTTCCCTGTTCTTTACTTTTTCATAATGAGCCAGTAGTCCATTACATGCATATTTTCAAATAAATGTAAACAAACTTCGTGAAGCAAACAGCAAAACGCAAAAAAAAAGAAACAAAAGCCATATACGAATTGTTAGTGGAAGAAAGAGCACTTGTAAAGTGAGTTTTATTATCTTGACGACACACATTCAAACGATTTATTTTTTAAGATAGCGAGAGGCGTGTGCAGAGTAAATCGAATTTGGGTGATAAAAATTAATGCCCAACATAAGGATTTAAATTGAGGCAAAAGTATAGCAGATTCAAGAATGGAATTTATTGTAACGTTTTGTCTTTACTTAAGACATCTTTAGACATTATTGAATATTATTGCATTCTTATTAGGATATGCTAATTATACGTAAATAATCTTATTTACATAAGGTAATAGAATACAAAAGGAGACAGCGTAGAATACATTACATAAATTACGAAGTTAGGAAGCACAATAAATGGCAATTAAAAGGGATAGCGTGGAATAGAACTCTCTAGGACGTTAGGTGAAAGCTTGTGATTAGGATGCTCTCATGAATAGAGAGTTTGTATGGATCGTGAGAAGAGAAAATTATTTTAAAGTCGTCAATATGGTGGTGTTTCCACATGTGTTTTTGTGAGCAAAATTGCTCGATTACGTAGGGCGGGATATTGGTTAGCTGTGATGAGAGATATTCCCAAATGCTTCAAAAGTCTTGTGTCTAAATGACGTTTGCTTTGACACATACAATGCGTTTCAGCTGCCACACTTGAAAAAATACACAAATGTAAAACTCACCCCTTCCGTTAGCCGCAAACCTATACCTTCATTGACCTCTTCACTAACTTCCACAGCTTCATTACACTTAGTTACAAACGTTCACTATCTTCATGTGTACTTCATCAAATCTCTCTGGAAAATTTTTCCACATAGAACTCTAAAATACAGAAAAAAGTTACTCGCCAAAAGCGGTTTTCCTTCCCGCATATATGACCAAATGACACGTCGCTTTCTCATCAACGCCTTTGACCCAAAACCTCCAGTCATAACTGTGCACCTGTTCACTTCAGAATGGAGACATAAAGTCAACTTTTTAAAAATAATTAGCATATTTTAAAAAGTGTATAAAAGTTTGTCTTACACCAAAGTAAAGTGATGTCGAAATAAATGACAACAAAAGGTGATACAGTTTTAACTTTGATAGCAGACAATACTATATAGAACACTTTTAACTTTAAGATCAGTAACTTTCAAAACCATTTTATTTTTAATTCTTTAAAATACAATGCTGGACTCAATTGTGTATTGTTTCAATTACCAAAACGGCTAAGGCGAAGCATTATTTTTCTCGTCATTTCTCGTTATATTTGTGACGTGCGGCTGTCTTTGTGTCCATGGTGCAAACAAACACTTGAAGACAATAAGCAAACAGCTTGTAATATGTCGTAAATTTTTGTTCTTTTGCCTAAAATTTGAATATTTGTGACAGAAAATTTTGCTCGTGACTGCATGCCAGTATTATTTCATTCTAAGGATTGGTGTTATTTTAATTTTTTTTCATGTACAATTAGTCATTTTATCACTGCAAGTTTTTTATCTACTTCCATAATTTATTACACAAGTCAAGAAGCCTTTAAGTGCACAATTTTATCACATTATGATGCCTTAATAATACTAATGGACAGTATTGTTCATTGTAAGAGGAATGAATGTAGTATTGGTAAAATTCATAGTTAAAAACTTAAGATATATGCATGAACGATATAATTTTTCGTTTTTGAGCACATCAATCTGTTTTAGCGTGTTTACCCCTTAATATTTTTATGCATTAGTATTATTTACTTCGTATAAACATAATTCTCTAAATTGTTGAAAATTTTATTTTCTAACAAGGTTTGTTAATCAAATCACATCATCCTAATTTACTATCATACGTATAAAGCTAGGATGTTACTCTACATTCGTAAAGGATACGATTTGACGCGTAAAAACTCGTTGAACATCTGGGGAAGACGGCATGAGTGTTAATAAATACTCGATACAACTCTGCACACTGGAGGAAACAGCTTTGGTTAACAGCTACGAAAAAAACTTTGCGAAGGCCACGACTCTTGTTCGTCTTACTTGTATGTATCTTAATTTTTCTCTGTTGGTTTAAGTTGTATTTCTGCAGTCTTCTTGTCTTAACTGCAATATCTTAACTTTTTGTAATTGCCGTATTGTATACACGATATAATAAAAGACGTGAAGATCACAAAACAACGAAAGGTAAGACGTAAATTTCATTCTATATAGTTGATGATAAAACGGATGATTGTTTAACATCGATGCCTTTTCAACTTTTAATACAGCAAAGTTTTTCTTCCACTGAGTTTCGTTTCGTTTCGTTATTTTGTACTTTATTAAGTGTTAATAATAATAATATTACTCAAACCCTTTTTAATTTTATTTCTAAATCGCTATCTTTTGAAATTTTTAATTTTTTAAAATTTTTCAACTGTAACTTTTTGAATTTGTCAACTGAGCAATTTAGCTGTCTTATAGCTGCTTATAATTGTTTGATTAAATGAATTCAAAATTTGAATGAAAATTTTAAAACTGGTAGCTAAATTTGGCTGCAATACATGAAATTCTAACGTTTTGCTACAGCGTAAATCAAATTTAGGTGATAAAATTAATGCCAACATAAGGCTTTAAGTTAAGCCTAAAAGGTAGCCGTTTCAAATATGAAATTTATTGTAACGTTTTGTCTTTACTTAAGACATCTTCAGACAGTAATGAATATTGTTGCATTCTTAATAGGATATGTTACTTATATGTAAATAATCATATTTACATAAGGTGTTAGAATACAAAAGGAGACAGCGTCGAATACATTACATAAATTACGAAGTTAGGAAGCACAATAAGTTGCAATTAAAAGGGATAGCGTGGAATAGAACTCTCTAGGACGTTAGGTGAAGGCTTGTGATTAGGATGCTCTCATGAATGGAGAGTTTGTATGGATCGTGAGATAAGAAAATTATTTTAAAGTCACATTGAATTTACTGTTGGTGAAGTTGATAGTCAAAAACTTAAAATGCGTTTTATATTGCAACAATATAATTTTTCGTCATTAAGCACTTAAAGGTCATTAACCTGTTTTGCCGTGTTTGCCCACATTAGATGCATTATTTGTGCTTCGTTGCTTCGTAGCTATAAACAGAGGTAATTCTCTAAAATATCAAAAACTCTATCTTCTATAATATTGCTTTGTCAACCAACAACAGCATCCAAACTTATAAACATTTAAAGTATAATAGTAAATTCGTAAAGGATAGGATTTGACGCATAACAAATTCTATAAAATGTTGAATAACTAGGGCAGATGGCATGAGTGTTTGTATATACTCAATATGGCACTGTACATTTGAGGAAGCCGACAGCCTTGGCCAGCAGTTGCAAGTAAAACCTTGCGAAAGCCACAACTCTTTTGTTCGTCTGACTTGAACGTATCTTAATTTTTCTCTGCTTGTGTAAGGTGTATTTCTGCAGTCGCCTTATTGTGTCCGTTTTTCAATTAATAAAAGAATAAAGGTAAGATAGTAAAACGGAACTTTCTTTATCGTCGATGCCATAATAACATTTATTACTGCAAATTTTTTCTTCCACTGAGTTTCATTTACCACTATACCTCTATGCTTGATGTAGGATTCGTGACAGCTTATTACATTCATATTTTGAGTCATATATATTATTATATTTTTTCTAAAATCTCTCAACTAAATCAAAAACAAACCCTATTCTACTGTTCTGTAAATAATTTTGTTCTTCAGCGGCACTTGCAAAAAATATAAGTGAAATCCGCTTAAAATTTTCAATTATTATGAAGTATTCATTGTCAGTTAGTACTTCACGAATAACTGCAAACAAAGGAGTAACAACAACATTAAAAAAATGCAGAAAGTTGCAAAATATTTCTGTAAGTTTTTATAAAAGAATTTGAGCAATCGGAAGATAACGCTGAAACCCAAAACTACTTAGCTGCCCTTAATATCGACGTTCATTTATATCGCGAGCAATTCCTCCCCAATAGAAATAAAGCTCCTCTGTGCATATAATGTACATATCTAAAACTAGTTTCAACAATATTTTTTGTCATTATTTTATGAAATTTTTAATTTCTTTAGTTAATTTTTCAACTGTAACTTTATGAATTTTTCAACTGAGTAATTTAGCTGTTTTATAGCTCCTAATGTATTTAATTCAATAAACTATAACATTCGAATGAAAATGCAATACGGGTTTTGTTATAGAGACAATACGGGTTTTGTTATAAAGACAATACGGGTATAGCTATACAGCTATAGAGGCTGTGTTACAAGAAATTGTAAAGTACTTTATGATTTCATAGGTTTTTTACATGTATCATGACGTAACGGGAAATTGAAATGAAATTACTAATGGGAAGCTCTGCATATGGACAATTGTTATTTTCATATTCAGAGAAAGAATTTTAACATCGTCCGGTGTTCTTAATTTATTGTATCTAAAATAAATGATTTGCTTTGATTTTAATTTGATCTCGCTTTCTTCGTTCCTTAGCGCTATCCACTAAAAAGCATTTTTTTATCGTTCAATAAATCTCTTGAAAAAAAAAAAGGTGAAATTTAGATTCAACCGAGCAAAAAGAATAAAGCACAAATTGACAGATAAGCAAGTTTTACTATTTTAAAAAAATTATAACCACGTACATATATAATAGCTACCATGGCTACCATTGAGAGAGCCATCATGCAGCCATATGAGACTAACTCGATCTATTTCTGAACAGTTTCTCGCGCTGCACAGTTCTGCTAAAAAGAATTTTTTAGATAATGCTCATATATTGCTCAAAAATACGTTTTGATCGTTATCTGCTTGCATCACAGATGTAATTGTGACGTAGTCATTGTCGGTCTAAATATAAATTTAAAGTCTTCTTTGATAACGTACATGTATCCATTAATCAATTATAATTTAGAACTTTACTCTACATCCTTGGATCTATGCAATGATGAGTTTAGTGATATGGTGGTTATTGTGGCTGTTATTTGGTCATGGATTCACAATGAAAATGGGTTGGAATGAAGAGCTTGAGTTTTGTGAGGAAGAATGGAAGAAATTTGTCGAGGATATAATTGAAATCGATTCGAAATGCAACAATACTCCTACACGTTGTTGTGTTGAGGAGAAGAAATATCTTTTGGAGCGATTTAAAATGTTTAGTGAAATATGTCCACTTGAAGGTAAAGTAAACAACAGTTCAGTTTACAATAAGTACAGAACATCAACTGGCCATGTACTTGGCAAACAATCACAACACTCATTTTACTGAGGTACTGTTTAATTTAAATAACGCTAATTGAAACCGTGTTCTTAGAAAGTGCATTAAAGTAAGGTACATAAAGTAAATGGTTTAAACCCGTAAGGTACATGTTAAAATACTCAACTGATTTGGATACACTAGCTTCAGAGCATTGACGCAGCATAATATCTCGTTCATTGTTCCTCTGTCTAGTTACAAAAGCAAAGTAAAGTATGACAGTAGAGTCAAAAATAGTAAATTACTCAGTTATATTATATGGTCTGTATAGTTATTGTCTATTTGGGTTTAACAAAGACTTTCGATTTAATAAGGATAGTTTGTAACATTTTGTGGCCAAATTAGTGTCACTTTCTACTTGTTCTTTTTCTCTGGACAACCAGTTAAAGATAACTTAATTTTTTTTAGGGACATGTGGATGCAGCCCGATGATTTTGAACTTTACTACTAGGTCATACTACTATAGTGCACTCTCAGGATGGAAAGAACCTGAAAACTTCACGTGTTCACATAAGTACATAATTGAAACAATAGAAAAACCACCATGGTGGACAAAACCACTTGGAATCGGACAACACAAAATCCCTTACAAGTATGTTTTATACGGTGGAAAAAGTCACAACTGTTATGTTTTCATCAACGTGAATCTAAAACGACAAGGTACATACAAGGGCAATTCATTTTAAATTCTCCCGTCTCCGTTTAATTTATAGTGCACCATTGTGATTATAGTGCTTCATATTCAACTTTGGTCAAATCCATACGACAATTTGACCTATATTTATTTCATAATGTACATAAACTCTTATGTGAAATTTCTTCGCAATTGCAAAGCTAATAGAATACACGCCCGGAAAAGCCGAACATGTTTAACATCATGCTCAACTTCATCCAAAAATTGTTAAATAATTTTCACCGGAGAATGTTTACATTTCACTTCAGTAGAAACAAATTTCGTTGTTTATTAACCCTCTGTACAATATCTCTGTACATATTTGTATGCATCTCTTCTCTGCATGTATAAACCTGTATAAACCTGTAAAAAAAAGCCTCACAATTTTGTATAAGCCTTGGGCATGATATTTATTTAAAGTGTTTGTAATTTTAAATTGTGCAACTCTGGTATTTTTATAATCAAGAGCACTATTTCACAGCACAACCTAAATCAACTCCACCAAAAAAGAGTGTACAGCTTACAGAGTTCATAACTCAGTTTTACATTGAATTATATATTCCTTGTCTTCATGTTTGTATAATACTGACCTAAATCATCATTTTTTTTCTCGGCACAAATTTGTATTTAGTGTTCAGATAAACTTCCTTGTCATCAAAAACGAAAGACATGGTAGTTTATACAGTTTAAACTTCACGGATTAGTTGGCAAAGTTTAAAAACCAGCTTTCAGCCGACAATCTTAAAAAAATTCAAGAGAAACAGATTCCATAGGTGGCCCGATAAATCACTAAAAATGCGTAAACAAACCATAACTCTCCTATTTCCATCGTAACAGACCGTGCGCCGTAAAATTTGTATTAATTAATTTTTTACACTTTTCAACTTGTTTGTAAAAGTTTTCTGTCTCCATGCCATTGAACTAAAATACGTGGAACGCTACATCAGGCCAATAATTGAAGCCATATCTTACGCCACACACGCGAGATTTTACCCAAGACGCGCGCGTTTAGTGTTTCAAACTCTTTCGCGAAGTAATAAGTGATTGACTACACACTCATGTCTGGGAAAAGTCTCTGGTGTCTAGAGTAAAATAACGGCTTTAAGAATTGTTAGGGTTTTGTATTACAGGTAGCGCTCCATGTATTTTAGTTCAATGCTCCATGCTAAAAGCCTTAAATTATTTTATACGCCATAATTTTTAAAATGACCCTCAACAGCAATTTGTTTATTGAATTCTTTAGAAAGGTTGAATTACAAGATGGCTTTTTTTGGAGGGTTTTTTCCTCTATTGTTAGAATTCAGTATGCTAAGTTATTTTTGATAAAGTCATATTATTTTTATTTATATATTTTGTATGAAATTTTATCATGTATCATTGTCCTTTTTCAGATATGAATGGATTTTTCATCAAACATGTTCAGTCAGGAAAGTGTGTTCAAGATTTTTATGCAATTTTCTTGGAGCTTTCATGGAATTGTTTTGACATGAGAGCTAATTTTAAATTTTTACAATCTGGCTCAATCATGAAACTGAATACAAAAGATTGTCTTTCGAGTGGAGGCAACCGAATTTCTTTGTTGCGCTCTTATGTAAATTTAAATGAAGAATGCGGAGCCATCAATAGTATAACCCAAACATTTTGGGGTGGTCTATTCCTTTCACGCTTTAATAAATGTATAATAGCTTCAGAAGGATCTGACTTCTTGGAACATGTCAGTTGTAAAAATGAAGAAGATCAGCGATTCAATTTTGGTAAGTGAGAATATTCACCCAGTTAGCGTATATTTACTTAAACTCTGATTAAAAGCCACTGCAAGGCCACAGATATAGGAATGGCGCCAGTAAAGTCACTGCCATCACACACTTCATTTTTATCAAATCAACATTTATTTCACAAGAATTTAAAGATAAGCTTGTATAGATTGGAAATTACTTGTTTTTTGTGTTTCTTGAATAGGCTCAGTAACATGTGCTGGAAAAATTATATCGGACGTCAGTTGTTCTAATAATCAATATATGGTGATAAAAGTTGCAGAATATCGTGGATTGAGAAACAGGAGCATTTGTGGCTTAAGTTTTGATTATAATTGTAGTGTTGATGTAACCTGTGACCTTAAAAATTACTGTGATGGTGAAAGGGAATGTAATGTAACTGTTGATGATAATCACTTTCCTTCAAATATTTGTCCTGGTTTGGAGAAATATCTTTACTTTGAGTATCAATGTAACTACACAAGTATGCCATACAGAAAAATTTGCAATCGTAAGTATTATATAGGCAGATTATATTTTGCTTATGATATAAGTGCTTCGAGACAAGTTTTGACTATAATGCGCAATGGTATGGTGTTTATTTTTATACTATGTACGTTATCAATTTAGAAAAATTGAAACAAATTTGAATTTTCGTCGGGTGTCTTCACCAGGCTTGGTTTGTTTTTGAAGTTTTATCTCGTATGGTTTAATTTAGTGTCTTTATATAATATGACATTTAAACTTGTGTCCTCAATATTTTGCTTCAGTTTAAACGTTTGGTCAATTTTGTGTTTTTAGTTTGTTAATTAATGCAAACTTTGTTCACGGAAACATTTCATTTTCCAGTAACTTTGATTTATCAAATATCTTTCTTTTTTAAAATCTTTTGGCGATTCTATGTAGGCCAAAAACATTTACAATTGGATTTGTATTCATATTTTCATGAATTCATACCACAGAATTTTCATATACACTGCATTTATATACAAATATATATATATTACAATTCATATGAGTTGATATTTTTATCATATTTTTGAAATTTTTCAATATTTTTTAAAATTGACGTTTGAATGGAATTGTTTTGATGTGACAACTTATTTTAAAATTTTACTATCTGGCTCAATCATGAAGCTCATTACAAATAATTGTATTGTAAGACTGTTCAACGGAATTCGTTTGGGGTTATTTTATCGAAATTTTAATGGAGAATGCGGAGCCATCAATGCCATAACCCAAACATTTTGGGGTGGTCTATTCTTTTCACGCTATAATAATTGTATAGAAGGAAATCCTTGTTAGTTATAAAAATGAAGAAGATCAGCGATTCAATTTTGGCAAATGAGAATATTCATCCAGTTAACGTATATATACTTAGACTCTGATTAAAAGCCACTGCAAATCTACGATGATGCAATCTCGATTGCGATTAGCTAAGAGCCTTCAGATACTTGTCAATATATTATCACCTTTAAAACATTAAAAATTATCTGTAGGTGACGCAATTTTCTTTATGAGACAACTGTAAATAGAAAAAATATTTTGGGGGAATCTTCTTCGAGATTTTCAAGTGATTTACTCTGCTCAAATTATCGAGAATAAAGACGAAAAAACACCAAAAGAGTTAAACTGTCAGTCCAGAGAGTTTTCATTGCGTATTTACATGAAAAAGAAAAAAGCGTGCACCATAAAAATTGTATTAATTCATTTTTTACACTTTTCAAATTGTTTGTAAAATTTTTCTGTCTCCATGCCATTGAACGAAAATACATGGAACGCTACATCAAGCAAATAATTGAAGCCATATCGTACGCCACACACGCAAGATTTTACCCAAGACACGCGCGTTTAGTGTTTCGAGATTCTTTCGAGGAGTAATAAGTGATTCACTACACACTCGTGTCTGGGGAAAAGTCTCGCGTGTCTGGGGTAAAATCACCGCTTTAAAAAATTATTAGAGTTTTGTATTACAGGTAGCGTTTTATGTATTTTAGTTCAATGCTCCATGCTGAATGCCTTAAATTGTTTTATACGCCATTATTTTTTAAATGACCCTCAACAGCAATTGGTTTATTTAATTCTTTAGAAAGGTTGAATTTCAAGATGGCTTTTTTTTTGGAGGGTTTTTTCCTCTATTGTTAGAATTCAGTATGCTAAGTTATTTTTGATAAAGTCATATTTTATTTATATATTTTGTAGAGCGTGATATTTTCAATAAATTTTATCATGTATCATTGTCCTTTTTCAGATATGAATGGATTTTTCATCAAACATGTTCAGTCAGGAAAGTGTGTTTATAATTTTTTTGCAATTTTCTTGGAGCTTTCATGGAATTGTTTTGACATGAGAGCTAATTTTAAATTTTTACAATCTGGCTCAATCATGAAACTGAATACAACAAATTGTCTTGTGAGACAAGGCAACGGATTTGGTTTAAAGTTGCCTTATGGAAATTTTACTGGAGGATGCGTAGCCATCAATGCCATAACCCAAACATTTTGGGGTGGTCTATTCTATTCACGCTATAATAAATGTATGGCAGGAACTGGCGTTTTGAAACTTGTCAGTTGTAAAAATGAAGAAGATCAGCGATTCAATTTTGGTAAGTGAGAATATTCACCCAGTTAGCGTATATTTACTTAAACTCTGATTAAAAGCCACTGCAAGGCCACAGATATAGGAATGGCGCCAGTAAAGTCACTGCCATCACACACTTCATTTTTATCAAATAAACTTTTATTTTACAGGAATTCACAAATAAGTTTGTATAAATTGGAATGTACTTATTTTTGTGTGTCTTCTATAGGATCAGTGACAAGTGCTGGACAAAATATAACAAACGTTGGATGTCCTAATGATCAATATATGGTGATAAAAGTTGCAGAATATCGTGGACTGAGAAGAGGAAGCATTTGTGGCTACAGTTATAACCAAAGTTGGAGTGTCGATGTAACATGTGACCTTAAAAATTACTGTGATGGTGTAAGAAAATGTAATATAACTGTTGATGATAATCATTTTCCTTCAAATATTTGTCCTGGTTTTGAGAAATACCTTTACTTTGAATATCAATGTAACTACACAAGTATGCCATACAGAAAAATTTGCAATCGTAAGTATTATACAAGCAGATTATATTTTGCTTATGATATAAGTGCTTCGGGACAAGTTTTGACCTTAATGCGCAAAGGTATGGTGTTCATTTTTATAATATGTACGTTATCAATTTAGAAAAAGTGAAACAAATTTGAATTTTCGTCGGGTGTCTTCACCAGGCGTGGTTTGTTTATGCTGTTTTATCTCGTATGGTTTAATTTAGTGTCTTTATATAATGTGACATTTAAACTTGTGTCCTCAATATTTTGCTTCAGTTTAAAGGTTTGGTCAATTTTGTGTTTTTAGTTTGTTAATGCGAACTTTGTTCATGGAAACATCACTTATTCCAGTCATTTTGATTTACCAAATCGATTTCTTTTTTAAGATATTTTGGTCATTCTATGTAGGCCAAAAGTGACATTTACAATTGGATTTGTATTCGTATTTTCATGAATTCCCACTACAGAATTTTCATATATATTGCATATATATACAAAGACATATTCATTACAATTCATATGAATTGGGAAGCTAAACGCAGCACTCACCTGTAAAAAAACAGTATTTGTTCTGCTTTCATTAATGATTCACATACTCACTTGGACATACTTTATTGTAATTCGTGTTTAAATCACAAAAGTAAAGTTCTCTGTTATTTGTCTGCAGTTCATTTTCGACTTAAAAATTAAAATCAAAACAGTGCATACCAACTTTAACTGTAAATCTATAAGATACTGTGTCCATCAGAATGTGTGAAACATTTCTGGTTAAGTGCTTTCTGTTTATAAAGTTATTTTCACCTTCTGTGTTTTTCTGATATTCTAACTCCGTGTATATATTTTATTCATTGACGGGATTTGACATATTTGTGTTCATAAAACCATTTCTATAAACACAGATTTCATTTTAAGATATGCGCCATGATCATTTTAAAGGAAAAAATATTTTTGATTTGTGTAGTTATGGATGTACGCCTGTCTCACTCGAATCTTCCCAGTGAAGGTGTCGTGAATGTTATTACCAAGTTTCGAAACTTCACCATATGCAACAACAGTCTTTTGCATAAAATGAAGACCATTATCTGTAAACATCTTGGTTATCCTACCGCAGCATCTTGGAAAGGCTCAATGTCACTATCATCTTTGTTGCATCAATCGTTTATACCTGGAAATGTCAAATGTGATGGTCGAGTGAATGATTTATCTCAATGTGCTATCATTCAAAATGATGATTGCTCTCAATATTCGTACATTACATGTAAGCATTCTTGTTCAATTTTTTGAATGTGTTAACGTACTGTTGGACACATTTGCATGACGGTAGAAAAAGGTTTGAGCAAAGAGTTTAAGGAATAAATGTGTTACTTTTGTGTTCTCAACTTACATCTGTCTTTTGTTAAGCATCATGACTTACCTTTATCATCAATACTTACATCTGTCATCGTGGTGTCACTGTATTTTACGCTAACTTGGAGAATTTCACAATTCTTCTTTTACAAATGAGCTATAAGTATCAAAAAGCTATAGAATCACAAAATATATACGATTGCTACTCTTGGATAAAGAATAAATAAAACAGGATTGCTGCGAATACAGAGGATTAAATTAATTTTACCCTTGCTAGTTCATTTCGTGCTTCAAAAAATGTCCAATTGTCATTGATCTGCACGATGATTGACGTTCACTCTTTAATGGAATTTAAATCGCCACGGTATTGTTGTTATTAGAGAAGATACTTACGGTTTCTTGTCATAGCTGGCTTGATTCCAACTGGAATTTAACCTTATTTAATAAAAGCATGCAAAATCAGTTCTATTCCTCAAATACTTCTTTTGCTCTCTCTCTCTCTCTCTCTCTTTCTCTTTATTCAGACAACAATTTTTAATTTTTGCCATTTTTTCGTGAATAGAGAACAATATGGTATTGCATCATTGCTCTCTATCGAATCAAACCAGTTCTAATGTTGTAATGAATTTCAATAAAATCCCTTTTCTATTTAAGGTCATGTTTGTGGTAATCCTCTATTAAAAAACGCAGAAATATTCCCAGATTCTTGGTTTACTGCCTTCCCAAAGAGTCGTAATGCTTCTAAAGCAAGAATATCCAGTGGTAGTTCATGGTGTGCTCCTGCTGCAGATGGCAATTATTATTTTCAACTGAATTTCCCAAGTCTTTATACAGTTAACGTTATCGCAATCTTTGGTGACAGTTCAAGTTCAAGGTTTGTAACTGAATATCACTTGCAGACAAACATTGATGGTGTGAACTGGAAAACTGAAAAATCCCAGAAGGTAAGGTTAGAATTTTCGAATTTGTATAGTATAAATTTAATGGGAAATTTAAAAAAGGAATGAAGTTATTAACTAAGTAAACTTTTAAATTGCTATTAAGAAGCTGTTGATTCAGTGGTATAGCCGGCACGCAAAATTGCTGGTTCTATGTAAATTTCAGATCATTATCATTATTCATTTCTTTAGAGATCAATAGTTTTTACAGTAAGTGAGCACTGAAAAATTTACATATAGCACAACCAAATTTGTGGGCTAGCTACATCACTGTGTTGATTCTCTTAGTTACTCCATCACTACGGAAGAATCTTGAATTTGATTATAAAGTTTAAATTGTAGCTATGTGCATGATTTGAAGAGATACATAGACAATGCATAAACTACTCTCCTCTAGACTGCGTTAAACAAACCTGGCTTTTCTCTAACCTTACGCTGCAAATACACGAAAATTTTTTTTTTTGTTTTATTCCAGATTTATCTAGGAAACAAAAATGGTTACAATGATGCGGCTATTGAAAAGATTTCTGGTGGCCTTAAATCAAAAGCTTTGCGAATCTTTCCTTTGAAATTTGTTGGTGCACCGTGTTTACGAATTGAAATTTGTGGAGGAGGTAAGAGGTGAAAAAAATTTACCACATTTACTTTGCACTGTAAGCACTTAATTACTCAATACATAAAGTTTTTTACTCTGAGATTTAATTAAATAAGTGTTAATTGACAAAAGTGAACAATTTTCCATGAAGGCTGAAATGTTAAATTTTTTTCTCTAATGAAATAAACTTATTAAAACGAGCCTTTTCAACATGCAGTTAAGTTTAACACGTGTTATTGAAGAAAAAGCAGAAAGACTGATTTTATTTAAGGGCTACACATTACTCAATTTGTAGATTTTTCTTTTATCGTGCAGACTTACTCCCAGACAAGCCAACAGATCTTATTGCAACCAAATCTGCATCGACGTACCTCGAGATATCATGGAAACATCCCCAAAAAACTGGTGTAAAACTTGGTACAAATATCTCGAATCCTCTCACAAGATATCTATTGATTTTGCTGAAAGATACTATGATTGTTTTCAATAAAACTTTGGAGGTAACTGACAAAAAACCGTACAACATTACGAATATTGTTCCTTACGCAACGTATACAGTTAATGTAACCGCTGGCAATTCTGAAGGCTTTGGTAGATCAACTACAGCTACTTTTAGAACTGCTGAAGATGGTGAGTTCATATCAGTTTTTGTGTATACATATCGTCTGTTATTGCATTGATGATTTTATTGTCGTGGACGACTTTCGAAAGCTCAAATCTTTTCTGCTCGACATCTATTTCAAACATGTTTTTCTTATACTGTATTATATTTAAGTTAACAATGACAGTGTACACTTGTTAAGACTTCTTTCTAAAGTGTTTTTAATGTTTTACATAAATCTTAAAAACAGATGTTTTTATTTTTGTTTAGTTCCCGAAGGTCCACCTTTAAATGTTCAAATTGTCGCCTTAAGCAGTTCATCGTTATCAGTTACGTGGGAGCCACCAGACAAGAACAAAACAAATGGAAAGATAGTCAGTTACACTGTTTGTATTACACATTTGGAGAATGAAACCTGTTCAATAAAGTATATGATCGAGGAACAGCATTTGGTCATAAATAATCTGAAACCAGTGACAAAATATTATGTTCGTGTTTTAGCTTCTACAATAGTGGGATCTGGATGTTACAGCAATGGTAAATGGGTATTTACAAATAGATGTAAGTTGTCTATGGTTTATGCACAGGTTTGCTTAAGTGGACAAATTTATTCAAGTTTATTTATTTAGTGGCACCTGCACTGTCCACCAAGCAGATTGGAAATACGTTGACTTATTTGTTGCAAAATCCAAACTTGGAATACCGGTAACTATGTATTTTACTAGAGCAAATTATTGTAAAAAAACTTAAAGGAACTTAAAAATATTTTTTGAGTTTTTCGTATTCATGGCTAAGTATAGGACAGTTGGTTTCATGTGGGATTGAGGTAGTCTAAATATCTCTCTGGGAAAAGCTTTGATGACTCGTCGCTTTTCTTTGGCATTGCGTATGCATGCATAACACATATTTTAACGATTAATAAAAGCAGAGGTTATGCATGTATTTTAAAAAATGTTTTGCCTTATATTTGCAGATATTTCTATGTAGTTGCGATGAAAAATGTCACAGAAGACAGTCGACTGCCTTCCAACTTTAAAAACACAGACTTAGTGACTTATTCTAAGGCCATATCTTCCACACAACCAATGCCGTATATTGCTGCTGTAGTCTCTCGCAGAGACTTTAAGCCTAATTTTACACTTGGTCATGGTGATAACACAACACGGCGTGCCAATGGGGAAAATTATTTTAATGGCCCGCTAAAACCTGGCACTAGCTACAAAATATTTCAGCGCGTTTTCATAAATGATCAGGTGCGACCTTTTATTTACGTTTTCATCAGCATTGATTGCTGCAATTTTTATTCAAATATAAATGTTCACTTCGTTTCAGGGTGATTATTATTCCACTGACTGGAGTCCAGTGGCAGCAACTGCCCAAAAGCACAAGTCTTCAGGTTTGTGTTTGCTTTCAATAGCATAAGGAAGTTTATCGATGTCTAAAGTGCAATGATTCAAGATCTTTGCAAATTTCAGTATAGTGAAATGCCTGAAAATTTTTAACGATGAATATACATATCGTTTGATGATACAGCCGAATCAATTCCAACAAATAACTGCCTTACTGATTTTGTGTACCTCTTCTCTAATTTCATTGCGTTCAAAACCTAATTTATATAATAAATAAATCATGAATAGTTAACAGGGATGAATACATGAGGTGTGAGAGCGGTTACAGCCTCAGCTTTACACAAATGATCGCTGAAAGACAAAATTTTTTGGTAATGTTATGATTTGTCATACAATTTTATCTTGTAGACGGTGGAAACATTGGAGCTATTGCTGGTGCAGTTGTAGCTGCTGTTTTGGTCATTATTCTTGTCATATTGGTCATTCTTTTTGTTAGGATCAATTCAAATTCTGCTACAGTGCAGTGAACTGCGTATTGTAGTCATTGAACGGATACTAAAAGTTCTCAAAAATTTGGGAAGTTGAATTTTTTTGCAAAATTATTTGACGTTTTTTTGAAATTTAGCGTACTATGAAAGAATATAATTAAACATAAAATTTTTATTTCCTTTTTAACTATAAGAGTGAACGAGAGTGAATGATTCTGAACAGTATTTGAAAACAAATTGGAACATAACATCAAATTTTTAGGCTAAGGATGTAGTCAATATTTAAATAGAATTATAGTTGTAATACATTTTATAGTTGTAATACATTTTATCTAAGTACATTAAATAAGAAATAAAGTTAAATTACAAACAAACAGTGGCGTAGCATGCTCAGTACTTTCTTTAAATAAGTTAGGGGGAACGGGATTTTCATTCATTCATAATTTTGGAGTCAATGGAATATATATGAATATGTACACACTGCCATCTCATTAATTTACTTGACGTAAGATACAGGAAGTTTTAGTGGATGGAGTTTACTTTGTTACCAACTATATGAGTGTTAGTAAAATGTTGCTGTTCTTGTCCTTTCGTGTCTTCGCTTATTATCCCCATTATAATATTCATTTTAAACTCATCCAAAGTTATCGAGTTAATTGAATTTTCTGATAATTTGATTGCTAGAGTGCTAGGAGCATTGTGTTTGGCCGTAGACAAACGATCAACGAAAAAAAAAGAAATGGGTTTGAAGCTACCAGACAATATTTTACAAAACAAGAAAAATGCATATGATCGCCCAACACGTCCTTCTCTCCTATAGTTTTTTGTCAACCCCTCTCCTTGTTTTTCAACACTGGCGGAACACCCACCGAAAGAATGATCTAGGTAGTCGCTACTAAACTTCCGCAACATTAAACGCGGTTAAAATTTATATTTGCGTTCGAATTATGATTGAATTATGAGTAAAATATCAACTTGTTACAAATACAGAAGTACAGAATATCATTCAGAGACTCTCGACTCTAGATATGAAAAATATAGCCAACCCTATCACGAGTTTCTCCGATTCATTTGTTTTTATTAGTTGGAACACACACCAACGATTATGATGTATGAGCTTTCACTTCATAAGAATATGAGCAGACGAGCCCCAAGAAAAACAGTTTCTTCTCGTCATGTAATATAGAGTAGTCTATTGATATTTTCAAGTAATCACTTGTTATTTATAGTTCAGTTGCTTTTTTTGTCCGTCTCCTGCTCACTTAATGTTTATTAAGCTCATCTTTGTCATTCATTTTTATTCTATAAACGGTAGAAATTATGGTGCTCTTACTGGTGAAGTTGTAGCTCCTGGTTGCTTTCTATTCTTGTCGTATTCGCTGTTCGTTAGGACCAATTTAAACTCTTGTACTCGAACGTGCAGTAAAATGCGTATTGAAGCTATTGGACATCTACTGACAACATTTGACGAGAGTGAATTCTTCACTTGCAATTCAGCTATGTTGGCGGTTTGATAGAAATGAATATTTTATTAGTGTTATTGTTGGCACTAGCCGACGTAGGTGAGCAACATTGTTTGGTAAATCTCAAGAGAATGGTTGCAAGTCAGGAATAGTTCTGAATTCAAATTTAAATTATCAAATGCTCAAATCAAACACTCTGCGGCGACTGCTCACTTTCATGTCTTAATCCATAGGTTAGTTTAACAACCGTTTGCTTTGTTCATCAAAATTATTTAAGAATGATTGTAATTTGTATAGAAGTAATAAAGAACTTACCTTTTAGAAAGGAAAATTACAACTCAACTTCATGTTACAATATGTTTACTCAGTCTGTCCTCTTGGTTATTAGCAATGGGTATCACAATGTAAGCCTCCTGTGTATACGTAGGAACTGGATGTACGATTTGGCATTGTGGAAGAGGATTGTAGTTTGAAATCATCAGAATGTTCTAACCCCTATGAGAAAACTCAAGTACTACGGTAGTTCTTACCAAGTGTCTGTTTAGTTAGCTAAAGTAGCTGATATAATAACTAAAATTTTCTACCCCACAAATCTTTCGATAATATTTCTCGTGATATAGTCGTTCATCACATGAATTTACCTAACGTGAGAAACAAGGAGTTTTAGTGGATGGAGTTGATTTGATAGTGTTAATAAGATGGTGCTGTTCTTGTCCTTTCCTGTCTTGCTTCTTATCGTCATGATAATAATCATTTTAAACATTCAAAATATCGAGTTAGTTAAATTTCCTTAATGATTTGACTACAAATGCTAGTTAACGTTGTGCTTCGTCTTAGATTGGTGATTAACGGAAAAGAAGACATTGCTGAGAAGCAATGACACAAAATTTTACAAGATGTACAAATCATGAAGCGCAATTGCCTAACTGGTTTCAATTTGTGCCTTATGCTTTCATTCCAGTTATTTAAATATTGAGTTCACAATGTTTTGAGACGAAGCCGAATAACAAAGACTCAGCAGACGGCAAAATATTCTCCTTGCGTATATTTATGTGCTATTCTTATTCTTTCTTTTATTTTTTGCTTTTGCGGCATCAAATTAAATTGGAATTACACGTTGTAGTTTCTCCAAATTACAATTATACGAATAAATTCAAAAACCAAGAATCACAGGCAATTTGATATGTAGATCAAAGAGTTTTTCGTATCATCTGTGGTTTTATATTTGATGTCTTCAAGAAGTGAATCTTAGAATTGAATTTCAGATATCAAAATTATGAGTCGACTTTATCTGATATAATCAATGTAAAAAGTTTTGATATATTTTTGTCTGGTGATTAGTGTCCTTTAAAAAGTGATCTGATGTTGAAACTTAAGTCATTATGTGTTCAAGTCTTTGTGTAGAGTGATTTTTTGTATAATTACAATGGTTGTATAGCTGTATATAAAAATTAAAGTCACAAGTAATCCACTCCAGTGTCTTCATTCCATACTATTCGCTTTTATAAATGTGTGAGGATAGTATTTTTAGCAACTGGTCTTTTGATACTTCTTTGTTATGCTTTTACACCATTTGCACATCATTAAAGAAGATTGAACATTCAATTACAAGCTTCGACATACCTGCAATAAAACAATAAAATATTCATTATCTTTGTAGAAAAATCAGAAACACGTGTTTACAATCAATAGGTTTCTATAAGAGAAAAGTCGGAATCATTCGGATAAAAAGAAATTTGTATAAACATATGTAAATCTCTGTTTTAGATAATTTGTTGAAAATAAACCACTACACTTCTCTTTCATACAAAGTTCATATGTATATGTTTATTCAGTAGCGTAGCCAGCTCGACTTTACTCTCGCTATGCAAATATTTTTCGCATTTAATAAATACGACGAGTTTTTATTAAAATAAATGTGTTTCAACATCTCATGATGACATCTTCAGTATAATAAGAATATTATGTATATGCATGATAATTTTATATAAGAGTAATGTAATGCAGTTATACAATTATCATTAGATTGTAAATATTACAATGAAATACTGGTTGGAACTAATTTATGAGTGTATTTACAGGCTGAATATAGTGTTAAAATGAAAAACGTGAACGTTGAGATTAGGATTAGTTTTTTTAGTGTGAAATGCTTCTTTTAAAAAAACTCGTCGTATTTATTAAATGCGCAATATAAAAAGTGTTTTTACGCAGTTGCGGAAAATATTTTTGTGTTTACTGACCGTAAGAACAACAGATTTCTAAAGAATGTCTTTATGATTAAATGATTTGTTACATTTATTCTTTTTTTGCTTCTTAGGATATTAAAAAAGGTCGTATGGTCCGTGATTCATGACATATCGTGGCCGGTTCATGATGTTTCTAAAGATGTTCACAGTATGGTGGAAATTTTATCTAAAGTTGATGATTGACAAAGAGCTGCTGATGTAAATGGACCTGTCATTGTTATGTACAAGTAAAACACGTGTGATTCAACTATTAGCAATTGATCAAACCCGTCGCTATCGTGGTTATAATTTGGCTGTTTAAGGTCTGAGTGAAGATCTCTACAAGAATTTTGCAACAAACACGAAAATTTTTTTAATCCAGTGACGGAACATGTCACTCTGGTACCTATATTGCTATATCAAATCTTGTGGACCTATTCAAAACTGTCCAAGCGATTAATGCGTTCCAATGCATCAAGCAGATCCAGAATAGACGCCGCAGTTCGTTGAAAAAGCGGTACACATGTCTTTATTATTCTCCTGAAGCCCCAACTGCACCAGCAACCAGCGTTATTTTCATTAATGGACTTTGCAGCCTCTACAAAATAGACCATAAAAAATTTTGCAGTTATTGACTTCATGTTTGAAAAGGTATTGTGATGTTTACCAACACTTTGACACATTTATGATTTGGTCGAGTGATTTTTCGATAAATTGATTTATCGAAGCTATTGTCATGCTTGATGACTATCATATTTCTTTGCCTTTATGTACATTTAGCTTTATAGAACCTAGATGATTCTTTTTATTTCCGGAAAACGTAGCTCAAACATAATACGATATAGTAAAGTACAAAAGCTAGACTAAATCACTGATATTTATGCATTGATCCGCTAAACAATGAAATTGCATGCTTTGCTTGCGCTGTGTGTCCGCTGCATTTGTGTCATCCGGTAACTGTTATTGAATATTAAGTAACTATCATAAAACTTTAATTACTTTGTTGTTTATGTTTAGTTCAATTATTGATCAAAATTTAAAAATAATGTGGTGCATTTTGTTATCGTATTTATCGCGATATTATCGAATATCGTGATAATTTCCTAAAAAATCATGAGCTGATTTTTTGATAATCGTCCAACGCTATTTATGATCATCCTATGTTGTATGGAAGTTACCGAATTTCTACTTTAAATATCGTGCTTGTATTCGAACTTTGCTCTCAGTAACGTATCATACCCTCATATTTGGTTTTGCTTTGTAAATCATCTGCATTGTTTATTTCTTTAGGAATCTGTTGTTTTAATACAATTAGTAAAGATTATTTACATAGAAAGACAAATTTGCAGGCTGTCTATGCTAATTGGTGCTCGGTTGTTTTCGTGACTGCTCGGTCGTTTCCGTTGCAGGGCTTGACATTTGGTTACCTGCAAGGGAAAATATTCCCAAATGCTTCGAAAATCTGGTCTGTAAGGACGTGTGGCTTAACCCACGTACGAGGCATTGCAGCTGCGTTCCGTTTATGGCAAACGTTCACTAGCCTCACGTGTGTATATTTCATCAAATCTTTGTTTTCGAAAATCTTTTTCAAATCTTTGACAGTTTTTTACAAATCTTTAAAACCTTTAGAATGTTTTACAAAGTTTTGTTTTGCCTTTGAAAATTTTTGTTTTACTCGAATCTACGAGATAGTTAGTCATCAAAAACGGCTTTTCTTCCCTCGTATTTGACAAAATAACACGTCGCTTCCTCGACAACACCTTTAACCCAAAACCTCCCGTCATGAATGCTCACAAAAAATCCATCTACTTCTGTCTTTTTTTCTCAGGTATGCACTCTCTTCAAATACACACACAAAAAATCGCCTTAGTGCTGCCGCCTTACCGCATGTACTAATTAAATTTGTTTTCCACCTTTCTTAACGTATATTTTCTTTCTTCCCCTTTTAGGAAAAAATCTCAAACCTCAGAGATTGGATGTTGTGTGTTCATTAAAGTGTTGTAGCTGTACGTATTGTATATGGGTCAAATCACACATCATTTACACATCGGATTTTCGTAGCATATGAGAATATCTCTATTTGAAGGTAACCAAACGTCACGCCTTGCGTCATCGAGCATTTTTGCTAACATAAGCATATTTGGAGATACCACCAACATGGACGACTTTGAAAGAATTTCCTCTTCTCACGATTCATACAAACTCTCCCTTAACGAGAGCCTCATAATCAATAGCTACAAGTCTTCACTTATCTACAGTATAGTAAAAATACAGTAGAGCAAGTCCATTGAATTTTTTGTGCCACGTATATCTCATTGTGCATATGATTACTATATTGGCATCGAGTAAAATGCTTTTTTTGAGTAATAGGAGTGCTGAGCTGGCAAACGGCAGCCTGTTATCTAATTATATGTACAGCAGCGAGTTTTTCAGCAAATTGGACCTTCGGTATGTTTCCTTTACTATGACTTAACATCCGTCCAAGGCAGTTCTATTCAACTCTTTTCATTTCACTATATTTTGCTTCCTAACTTCGTAATTTATGTAATCTATTTGAAACCGTCTCCTTTTGTATTCTAACACCTTATGTAAATATGATTATTTCTTATAACATCCTATTAACCATGCATTGCTACCTGACCTTCCGATTTGTTAAATACGGCCCTATAATGGAGCGAATGTTGAGTTTTATTTTATGTTTTTCTACGTGTTTTCTATGCACCTGTTCACTTCAGAATTGTTTTATTATTGATGAGGAATATTTAGTCTAAACGTCCCTAATGAATATTATGATGAGGAAATACGTCAGTAAACGTCCTTGTGATAGAAGGAGGCCACCATGTTTTTACACAGTTAAATGCTGTTAATGACTTAATGTTGACAATGACCATATACAGTCTCTTAGATCTATATCAATTCAAACCGGCGTTTCATTACAGGTAATTTTACAAATAAATGGAAAAAAATTTCTTAAAGCAAATAACAAGAGTTTTGAAAACAAGAAGTAAACTAAAGTGAATGCCAACTTTTCCAAAACAGCGAGGACAAAAAAGTAAAGAAAGCTTTGTGTCAGTTTAAATAGTGCTTAATAATAAACACTTTCTTAACTTTGCTTACTCGCTCTCCAGCCTGCGCGGTCTGTACATAAACAAACATCTAATCCGATATTTCTCTTTAAAGAATTCGCGATTGCTTAGTAAGGGACTTATTATACAACTAACTTTAATACGGTTTTTCGAAATTTATATGTTTCTACATGCTTTTCCTTTCACCTGTTCACATTAAAACGTAGACTTAACAACAACACTTTACAGCTAATTAACATGGTTAATGAAGAATGTTATAATAACATAGCTAAGTTACGAAGAAAATTGTGAAAATTGCCTAAATTGAATCGATCCTTGCTCGTTGTGATATACTTTGATAATATCCCACAAATTTGCTGTCCAATGCATAAACTAGAAGTTTGTTGTATACCAAATTAAAATTAATATTGAAATATTGTTGCTCTTATTTCTTTACCGCTGAACCCTATCACTTAAACCATTCTTTATTCATAAGTCATTATTCTTGGATGCATTTTTTTTTTGCCATTTCTCATTGTATTTGTGCTGCTGTCGTCTTGTGAACAGACACTTGTAAGCAATAAAAAAAAGCTGGTGTCGCCAAAGTTGATATTTAAGAACTTAAAATACGCTATGGGAACAATATAATTTTTTGTCATTTAGCACTTGAAGTCATTAACCTGTTTTGCCGTGTTCACAAACTTTAGATGCATTAATTTTGTTTCGGCACTTTGTCTAAACAGAGGCAAAATATAAAAAACTTATCTTCTATAGCATTGCGTCGTCAACCAATGTATGTATCTTAATTTTTCTCTGTTTCCAAATTTTCTAACACAATTAAAGTATTATTGACGATTCGTAAAGGGCAGGATTTGACGCAAAAAAATTCTGTAAAATGTTAAATAATTGTGGCATGAGTGTTTGTATATACTGAATATGGCACTGTACATTTGAGGACGCCGACAGCCTTGGCCAGCAGTTGCAATTAAAACCTTGCGAAAGCCACAGCTCTATTGTTCGTCTGACTTGTATGTATCTTAATTTTTCTCAGCTTGTGTAAGGTGTATTTCTGCAGTCGCCTTATTGTGTCCTTTTTTAATTAATAAAAGAACAAAGGTAATACGTGATGTACTTGATAGTAAAACGGAAGTTTCTTTATCGTCGATGCTATGTTAACATTTATAACTGCAAATTTTTTTTTAACTGAGTTTGGCAAACAAGTGTTAATACAAACACCGCACAACTTACGCCCCCAATGATTTGATTCTTATAGTAAATGTAGAGATTATCTCATTTACCACAATACCTCCATGCTTGAAGTAAGATTGGGGACAGGTTATCACATTAATATCTTGATTCATATATTATCTTATTTTTCGCTCAAATCTCTCAACTACATCAAAAACAAACCCCATTCCACTGTTCTGTAAATAATTTTGTTCTTCAGCGGAACCTGCGAAAAATTAAAATACAATAAGCTTGAGATTTTCAATTCTTATGGAGCATTCATTGTCAGCAAGTACTCCACGAATAACTGCAAACAAAGGAATAACGACAAGCTTGAAAAAATGTAAAAAGTTGCAAAATATTTCCACGAATTTCTGTGATATTTCTGTGAATTTTTATAAAAGAATTTAAGCAATCTCAAGATAACGATGAAAGTCAAAATTTTTTGCTGCCCTTAATGTCGACGCTCGTTTCTTTCGTGAGCTCTTCCTTCCAATAGAAAAACAGCCCCGCGGTGCATGTAATGTAAAGATCTAACACCCTTTTCAACATTATTTTTTGGTCATTATCTTTTGAAATTTTTAATTTATTTAGTTAATTTTTTAACTGTAACTTTTTGAATTATTCAACTGAGCAATTCAGCTGTTTCATTGCTGCTAATGTATTTAATTTGATGAATGAAAAATTCGAATGAAAATCCAATACGGGTATAGACAATACAGGTATAGCTATACAGCTATAGAGGCTAGGTTACAGGAAATTGTAAAGTACTTCATGATTTCATAGGTTTTTTACATGTATCATGACATAACGGGAAATTGAAATGAAATACCTAATGGGAAGGTCTACATGCACAATTGTTATTTTCATATTCAGAGGAAGAATTTTAACATCGTCCGGTGTTCTTAATCTATTGTATCTAAAATAAATGATCAGCATTGATTTTAATTTGATCTCGCTTTTTTCGCTTCCTTTAGCGCTATCCACTAAAAAGCATTATTTTTATCGTTCAATAAATCTCTTGAAACACAAGAAGTCCAAATTTAGACTGACCCGAGTAAGAAGAATAAAGCATAAATTGAAAGATAATCAAGTTTCATTATTTTAAAAAAACTATAACCACGTAGCTATATAATAGCTACAGTGGCTACCATGTGATATTTCGTGCATCACAGATGTAATTGTGACTTAGCCGCTGTCGATCTAAATATAAATTTAAAGTCTGTGATAACGCACATACATCCAACAATCAATTATAATTTAGAACTTTACTGTATATCCTTGGATCTAAACAATGACAACTTTAATGATATGGTGGTTATTGTGGCTGTCATTCCGTCAAGGATTCACAATGAAAATGGGTTGGAATGAAGAACTTGAGTTTTGTGAGGAAGAATGGAAGAAATTTGTCGCGGACAAAATTGAAATCGATTCGAAATGCAACAATAATCGAACACGTGGTTGTTTTGAGGAGAAGAAATATCTTTTGGAGCGATTTAAAATGTTTAGTGAAATATGTCCTCTCGAAGGTAAAGTAAACAACAGTTTAGTTTACAGTAAGTACAGAACATCAACTGGAAATGTACTTGGCAAACAATCACAACACTTATATTACTGAGGTACTGTTTAATTTAAATAACGCTAATTGAAACCGTGTTCTTAGAAAGTGCATTAAAGTAAGGTACATAAAGGAAATGGTTTGAACCCGTAAGGTACATGTCAAAGTACTAAACAGGTTTGGATACACTAGCTTCACAGCATTTACGCAGCATACTCTCTCGTTCATTGTTCATCTCTCTAGTTGCAAAGCAAAGAAATATGACAGTAGAGTCAAAAATAGTAAGGTGTGCAGTTATATGATATAGTCTGTACAGTTATTGTCTATTTGAGTTTAACGAAGACTTTAGATTCGAAGTGAATAGTTTGTAACATTTTGTGGCCAAATCAGTGTCACTTTCTTCTTGTTCTTTTTCTCTGGACAACCAGTTAAAGACAGCTTAATTTTTTAGGGACATGTGGATGCAGCCCGATTATTTTGAACTTTACTGCTGGGATGTTCATAGATTATAATTATTATGCAGACCCAAGATGGAAAGAACCAGAAGACTTCACGTGTTCACATAAGTACATAAATGAAACAATAGAAAAACTGTATGAAAGACCTTTGAATTGGCTTAAAATCGGACAACACAAAATCCCTTATAAGTATGTTCTATACGGTGGAAAAAATCACACTTGTTATGTTGTCATCAACATAAACGATATACAACGTGATAAAGGTACGTGCAAGGGCAGTTTATTTTAGTTTCTCCTGTGTCAGTTTAATTTATAGTGCACCATTGTGATTATAGTGCTTCATATTCAACTTTGGTCGAATCCATACGACACTTTCACCAATATTTAATTCATCATGTACATATACTTTTATGTAAAATTTCTTTGCAATTGCAAAACTAATAGAATACACCCCGGAACAACCGAACATGTTTAATTCGTCTTACATTTATTATAATGTAAACCTGTAAAAGAGTAAAAGCTCTATTCAAGAGCGTGTCTTGGTTATTTTTGGGTTTATTGATTTTGTTCAGTAACGATCACGTTGGGAGATTTTTGTTGTTTGTTAAGGGGTGTGAGGGTTAGGGTTAAGGTGTTCATATATTGATTTATGCTAGTTAAGCTTTATTATTATAATACAACGTTGATGCAATCTCGATTGTGATTGGCTGAGAGCTATCAGATACTTGTCAATAAATTATC